ATTGGGAGGTCCAGCTCGGAAGACAACGACACGGTTATGTACGGGATTGGGGAATGCTGCAGTGAAACCCCTGGGGATGGCAGAATAGAAGGTCGATATTGATGGCGAGACCTACGTCGTACCGGAGAAAACAGCGAATCCTGAATTCATCTTTGGACAGGAATTGATGAAATAAGTGGAGGTGACAATCAAGCATAGGGAGGATTTCTATTAAACGGATTGCAATCCAGGCAGAGACACCGAGTGCAGAGGCTCCAACTGACAGTCTCATCGAAGATCTGAGTCTTTTGGAAAGCGTGACAGTGCCCGAAATTGACGCTCATGAGCCTTACAAAAGTCATGTCGAACAACTAGTAGCTAACTACAAAGCAGAGAAGGAGGTGAAGGCTGAGGATTAACTTACAGGATGAAGAGCCGATCAATTTACCTCCACGAAGATTGGCCCCGAAAGAGAGGTGCATCGTCAGTGAGCAAGTCGAACAGTGGCTAAGAGACGGTGTAGTAAGAACCAGTGCGAGTGAGTAAGCTAGCTCGGTGGTCATTGTCAGTGGCGGTGGGTGAGTTAAATTTAAGTGTGTAGCCAAAGCAATGGTCGTAAGGGGCCGGGGGTCTCCCTCTCTAATATTTTCCGATTGATTAATGGGCACCATTATAAAAATAGTTTAAGAGCATTTCCCTTTCGATTCAAATATGTTTAAAATGTTCGATTCCTATCGGATGATTACAAATAAGCGCGAAAACTTAAACCTACTAATAAAGAAGGGAGGATACGAAACATCGTCCATTCCAAGAAAGAGATTATAAACATTTCGCGTGCGACGAGCGCATGGGCGCAAGGCCGCTGCCACCGCCTTGGGCTGCGCTCAGCGCCAGATCCGCTGCCGGCGACAGGGCGCCAGCTGAACTTGCGCACCGCAATATGACACAGAATGTGTGTGTTCTTACGCCCTTCATTGTTGTCATTTTTCAGTGAGACGATAACTTTCGCTAAACCGAAACACATTATTCAAGTAAAGTCAGTTCAACATTGCTGTTATACTGGAGATGTATCTGTTGATGTTTTTTTACGTATCTCATTCTAATGGTTTATTAGACCATTATAACCGGTCTTCGTCCACACATTTTCCTTCTTGCTAAATAACATGCAAGGAAAACAAAACAGAGCATTTTCCCTCACATTCACGAAGTCACTTATATGTCGAATAAATATTAGCTTTTGTTTTGCTGATTTCACAGTTGTTTCAATTTTCAGAACCTCCTGATCCGTACCAAGATTCTTTATTGAAATTATTGAACACCAGGATGCACGGACATTAAAAGTAAAGTATTATTTGAACGCGAGATATAAAACACATTAACGTTGATTTAAAGTTGACCCTCACCAACCACATCAGATGCAAAACTTCAAAGTATCGTATCGGGGACACTGTTTTACTGACAGCGCGACGGAGACTTCGTCTCGAGTTGGTGATGCCTATGTGCCCGCTATGTGCTGCACCAAGCGGCATTCGCGGCCTAAGTGTGAACATGATCCGATGAAAGCACCCTAAGAAAACTCAGCAGCGACATCACGTGGGTCCCAATGGTCCTTATGGAACGAGATCTGGGCGAGGTGTTGATTCGAAAACGTGACAGAAACGTAGCCACATCGGTTCGTCGGTGTAATACGAATCGTATTGGAATTATAAAAAGAGGATAAGAAAAAAGTAATTCTGTTATTGAGATTGTAATAACAAAGTGTATATTCTATTTTGTTCAATTTTTAGGGTGTTGTGTGTACGCACCTGTTAAAGAACCGTCCCTGGATATTGTAAAGATGAAAGGGTGCTCGCATATGATTTGTGTGGATTATAGGATATTTAATAAGATCGCATGTAGTCACTTCCAAATGCAAGTGTTAGATGATGTAAGCGACAAATGCCTGTACACCCAGATAGTATTAAATACGACGCGTTTGTTGCGCAAGAAAGTTTGATTTCGTGATGGCTCCTTTTTGTTTAAGTGAACATTCTTCTTTTTTTAAGGTGACTGGGTTCTGTATTTCGAGATTTGAAAAGAGAGGGAATCATAGTGCGTTTTGTTGACAATATAGGAATCGAGGTCAGAACTATGTTGAGACTGTCGCTAACCTAACCAAAGTCTTACAAGTAGCGGTACAGAACGAGCTGCAGCTGAACTTTAAAAAGTGTGAATTCCTCAAAACGTCGGTTGAGTTTTCAGGCTGTGTAGTAGGAAATGGGGTCGTGGAATGCATCTGCACCCAGAAATATTCAGGCGGTCCGGAAATTTTCTGAACCCGAAACCTCAAACAAGTCCAGAATTTTTTGAGATTGACTAAATATTACAGAAAAGGATCATGCGAAGATTTTTCTTCCATTGTATGAGGTTAAGGACGAGACACATTTCTACTTCGGAGAATCTCAGAAGTTAGCTGTTAGGCGATTGAAAGAGGCCTTAGCTAGTGAACCGGTGTTGCAGATCTATGATCCGGAGGCGTTCACAGCTGATACAAGCAAGTTAGAATATGGTGCGGTTTTATTGTAGAAGCGATCTGATGAGAAATACTTTCACACTGTTTATTACATGAGCCATAAAACGAGGGAAGCCGAAAGGAAATGGAGTTCCTGTGAGCTCGAAGCTCATGCAGTGGTTGAGGCGGTGAAAAAGCTCCGCGTTTATTCCATGTGTAGAACTTTAAGATCGTCATCGATTGCCAAGCCTTTCAGCAGACTTTAAATAAGTAGAACTTATCGCCAAAAGTTATGAGATGGGCTTGGCTCTCGACGAATTTAACTATGAAATCGAGTTTCGATGCGGTGATCGAACGAAACATGTGGACGTGTTCAGCAGAACCGTATGATGGCCGTGGAGGCTACGTGACAGCATTATTCTGGAGGGAACGAGATAAAGAGGAACGTCTCAAGGTGATCAAACATCTAATGACCAGGGAACCGTATGGAGATTATTTGATAGTGGACAACATTTCGAAGAAAATGGTAAACGGGAAGAAAATGATCGTATTGCCAACCACCATGCAGTAAGAAATTGTGCAAAAGACAATGCACATTTCGGGGCGAAAAAGATGCAGGAAACCATCCACAAGATTATTGCATACCCAAGCTGAGGGAGAAGACAGATCGCTGGATATAGTGTTGTATCCAATGCATCTTATCGGAGCAGACATGGAAAGAAGGAAGGGGTGTTGCAGCCGATGCCTAAAGGAGACTTCTCGTTGCATTTTCCCATTTCACGTTGATTATCTGGGACGGTGAGGGCTTCCGCGAAGCAGTAGAAAGTCTTGTCTTTACCATAACCGCTCAGTTTAAGATTAGAGGCAAAGGTAAAACTAAATTTGCAATGTATTATCAAATGTATTGCAATATATTACAATAAATGCTTTATTAAACTATTCCAACGATTAATATGAACAATGATTTCATAAAATTAAATAAATAAATTTCATATAGTTAAATAATAAATTGCGCAATTTACTGAATAAAAGTATACAATAAACATACAATAATTATCTAACTTTACTTAAATGTGAAATATCTAAAAAATGCTCTTTATTCTTTAAAACACATGCAAGTGTGATATTAAGCTTTGCTTTTGCATAAAGTGGAATAAATCTATTATACAGTAGTTCAAATCTTGAAATAAAACTCTTTGTGGAATAGGGCCAGTACTCATCAGAAGCTTGTTTAAGTTGTATATTCATGAAATGAATTTATGAAACACTCTTTTACATGCGCAGTGCACTTAAACAAATACATTCATATTATGAATAGTTACCAAACTAAGACGACAACCTGCGCAATAGCCAAGATAGAGCCAATTACCATCAGAGCAACGCCAGCTCTAATCGAGATTAACAACTTTCCATAATAAACACTAAAAGCTGTACTAACACTGGTTCACTCATACAACACGTTTTTCTCTTCATTGGATAAGATCTTTTTACATGTTCACAATATTCATTTTTAATATGTGAATCAGAAATAGAAATAGTGAATAGTGAACATTAGCAACACTACGGCTAAACCGTAGGCAGACTTTGAATTATAATTTATCGTCTCTGTATGATCTGACTGATATCGCAAACCCTTGAACTTGAAATGGATATTTTGACCATGTGGAGAACTTTACATCTAAGCCTCAACATCATTTCCAAAATTTCCCGCCTGTCCTCTCCACCCTTCCTCTACCCTGCTCATACTTCTTCCCCGCCTCCTTGCTAAACAGCATAATATCAATGTGCGAAACCACTTTTGATTTTCTCAGTTTAAATTCATTTACAAAATTAATTTTGATTCTTTTATAAATGTACAATGCCTTAGAATTATACAAGACCAGTGTGTGCAACTCGTTTTTGATGTTGCTCTATTGGATTCATACATTTAAAGATGTCGCTCTTTTCAAAACGAACTTAAACCAAAAAATATCAGATTATATGCAACTGGTTAGTTGCATGTTATTATTTCCGTCCATTTCATTAATGTAATAATTTTCATGAAAATATAGCCCAACTCATTAGGAATGTTAGGAATGTGAAATACATTTAGACCTGAAAGACATTCTATGACATCATTATTGTCTTATAGACTTTGCGTGAAGGGCTTTCAGACTAAGGATTGTGACAGTACTCTCTGGGAAATCCAAGTAAGTATAAATACCTCAAATTTATATTTACTCTTGAATTAAAAGTACGGTATCGTTTCAGTGGAAGTGTGGCTCTTCCCAGTCAGATGTTTGAACGGTGGGTTGTTGTAACGTGCCCAGCCCAGCCACTGGAGATTGGCATGGGTCCCTATGGAATTGCAACATAATAAAAACGATTAATTCGCAATAGTTTAGTTTAGAAATATGCTTTTATTCACATTTTATGACACTGAAGGAAGAGCTAAAAATGTTAATATCACCTTCGATTTCGTTCAGTAAAATTGTTTTTCATTTGGCCCGCCAAATGAGATTTCATCTGTAATGTTGGTTCTCCTTCTTTTGTAATTGCCAACGTAAAGGAATAACACAGGAAGAATAGCAAATTATCAGCTTTAACGATTGTGCGAATTTACTGTAATCGAAAGTCTAACATCTACTAGACATTTCATTTTCTGAAATATGTTTCTTTAGCTGGGCCCTGCTAGTAAATTGGCATATTCGCAATGTAAGGAAAGATTGTACAACTAATAAAAGTTTGTGATTCTGGTATGTTTACTTCTGAGACCATCTGTGACGTGGACGTTGATATACTCGGGTAGTGAATACCGTGAAGGTTGTTAAAAAGTTCTTCTTGCTTCAGAATACCGAAAGATATAAAAAATTGTGCCAAATATCCCCTAAAACGGATTGTGTTGTTACAATGGGACAATAACTGCATGGGATACTTGTAAATGCCTGGTGTTTCAGCGATGGCAGAATCTGACGTTTGGGAACTTCTCAATAATGATGGTATTAAATAAGAGCTAGCTTGTGTTTATCCTGTTCACTAATAATAATTAAATTTATACTAAATTGAGCTTATTGATTTCACAGATTTTTTACGACAATTTGTTTCAAAAGAACCTAAGCCAGACTCTAGTTTGGCAGCGGTGTCACAAGGTTTAGCTGTAGCAGAACAAATAAAGAAACTGACCGAAGGTTAATAAATATTCACTCTTATTTAATATCACTCATAAGCTATTGTGTAATTACGGTATATTTTTTTATATTTCAGTTATTGTACTTTTGGATAAGGAACTCCAAAAACAAGTCTTAGAAAATCATGAAGATCTTCTGTCACAAGCAACTTGGGTGGAAAAACTAGAAGGAGTTCTGTCAAGCATGCTGTCACATGTGCAAGTATGTTGTAACAAATGAATTTATATTTTGTACAAATAAATCATCACTACATGATATTGACCTTGGTGTTCTGTTTAGTGTTTACTTTCAGCTGTTGAAAGACTACGTGGGAAGATAGTAGAACCTTTTGATAAAATAGCAATGCAGACTCTCATGTTGTCAAGATTACATGCCACATCAGATTTATTAAGACGTGTAGCTAGAATACAACACGTATGTAAGCGTCTTAATACTTTAATGCATGATATTGGAACTGGTAACACATCAGACTTGGTTAAAGCTGCTCAAAGTCTTTATGAACTCGGTTAGTAAATACGCTTGTAAGAAGATTTCCATCTTGTATTTTCACTGAATTTGCAGTTTTAATTAAAAATTCCTTTTTGTTGTAGATCAGTTAGCAGAAGATGTTGATTTGTCTGGGTTGGAAGTTTTGGAAGAAGATGAACGTTCAATTAGAATACATAAAAGTACTGTAGAAAAACGTGCTAAAAGTATGTTGAATGAAGGACTTCTTAACCAGAATCAGTCTCAGGTATTATTCATTTTAATTTAATATTTACTCTTTTATTTATTGTTATTTTGTTTTTACAAAATGTGGACCCTGACAGTGAAAATTTGCATTCTAAACAGGTGATGACTGCTGTACAAGTATTTTATTGTATGGGAGTTCTTTCTAATGTGATATCTCAGGTGGCAACAAATGCTGAACAGCAAGTGACTAAGAGTATTAAGGATGCACTTGACGTTCAGTTTTTAACACAAGTTACTACGGAACAGTCAAAGAGCAGAGGTGAGATGAGGCAGCAAACATCTATTGTTTTCAGAACGAATTTTTAGTATTGAGGTGAGGCAAAAATGCTGCTAAACAAAACCAAACTAAATGGTTTCCACACAATCACGCACACTGCTTAAGAACAACAAATAAAATACTCTTAACACTGCAATAAATTAAATATTTTAACCAAAGCAGTCTTCATGAACACCGCTATAATATAATATATGTATAGAGTACAATAGTTCTTCATGCACCAAGAATATCAAAAGACGACAAGAACTGTGCCAGGGTTAGCTGCCATTGGACGTGGTCCCTTGGACCGGATTTCTCTTTCTTTGTGCAGCAGTACCACGTAACGGCAGCTAATCATGAAACAGATCTTTTTATTAGTGATGTAACACACACAATGCAAAAACATCAATCTTGCGGTTTGTTTACATCTGAACAGTTTGAAAAGTGGTTGGAATACACAATCAAATACTTGCATTCTTCACTCATAATCAAAAGTCTTTCATTGTTTGTGGTTTTCCTCTTGAGTCCCTTGGAATCTAACAAAGTCATAGCCATCTCTCACATGGGCATGAAGCTGTATCAATTTCTTTCAATACCTATGTGCATTGGAAATTAGTAATATAGGTAACATAATACCTTAAAAAATATTAAAATTTTATGGATAATGGTTATCCAGGGAGGGAACATCAAAATTTCAAAAATAAGCTCTTAAGAAAATTTTAAGCCTATTTTGTCTAATAAAGCTCCGAATGACTGAACCGCAATAAACACTCATAAGTTGGTTTGATAAAATGCTTTCTTGGCAAAAATTTGCATTGCAGAAGGATTTAAACATTCCAGAAACTTGTAGATTGTTTATTGCTTACAAAAGAAATGAATATATGTGTTCGGAAAGAAAATTTAGCACACTTTTTAAAAAGACCCGTTTTACACCATTCAATTGCTTGTTTATTTAAAACTTATTTTTTTCTTTCTGAATAAATATATTTATTTCTTTAGTACATAAGAAACTATTTACATGTGTCTGGAGTGTTTCTATTCTTCTGCAATGCAAATATTTGCGTAGAAAGAATTTTTCCAAACCAACTTTTGAGTGCTTATAGCAGCTTAACCATTTGGAAAATCCAAGTAGTTTATTAGATAAAATATGCTTAAAAAGTCTTAAGAGCTTATTTTCGACGTTTCCTTCCTGGCCATTCTATATATTTCATTAATTTCAAGAAAAAATTACGCCAAAAGTACTTTCTTTTTAAAAAAAATTGTACATGACCTTTTTCAAAGAGCTTATTGTGTACAACAGACATTGTCCATGGCATAAATCTCTACCTTCAATTTTGTAGCTTTAAAATTATTTTTTTTTTCTAAAAACTGAGCAATACGTAAAAATATTACTAGCACCATATTGTTTACCATCTATTACATAAGTGAAGAAAATTAATTTTATGAAGTCCAGCTGGTGGTGGTGGTGGAACTTCTAGACTGAGAGCCAGTATATCCCTTTGCGATGAATTTCGTAGCAGTTTTAATAAATTACTCCTCAGAATACATAGTGAGGTATATTATTTATCATTTAATATCATCTGATCCCTAAAAAAATTTACCGAGTATTGGCCAAAGAAAAATGATGAAACACTATTGGACCTATTATCTTACAATGAAAGGCAACTCGTGCAGTCAGGATTTCGTAATTATTTTGATGTAAATCGCATATATTTTATTTTCTGTATTGATGTTGTTAGCCAAGCGAATGCTCATAGTTTTGACAACACTTCGCTGGCAATAGTGCGTTACCAAGAAGAGGGTAAAGTTACATTACTGTCCAGAAGCAAAACAAGGGGCCATCTCAGCATTTGCTCAAAGGACCAAGAAAACTGGACAAATCCGGATCAAGATAGGGTCATTGGCCTGGGAATTGTACTACAATAATGCTACGGATAGATTAGGATATTATACAGTATATAATTATTTTTAGTAGCAAAATTATTTAACATTTCAAGGTTTGTACTGTTTCATGATCGAAGTAAAAGTAAAATTTACGTGATATTGTCAGTTTACCGCTATTACTTAATAATAATAATATTAATAACATCAACAATTATAATAACAAAAATACTAATACATGATATCAGTTATGGTAACAACTACATATAATTTTACAATTATTCAATGTTTAGATCTTGAAATGATGGGAACTAGAAGGCAGGTTTTGAACTTTTTTTTTTCTATTTCTACACCTAGTCATACTGCAGCACCTGAAATCAGATTGCACATATTAGTTACTGAAGTATTCCTGAACACAGTAAAAAAGTTTTTGCATGGAAGTGTTTGAGTTTATTTTTGAAGTTGTGTAATCCTGTTATGTTTCTCAGATGTATTGTTAATTAGCTGAAGAATTCCCATAGAGAATGTGCCCTATTGGTATAGTGTGCTTGTGTACAATGATGAAGGTTACATGCTTACCTTGTGTTGTAATTGAGTTGTGTGTGCTCGAGTTAAATTTGTAAGGTGTATCATTGTTTATTGGATTTTTCTTTACGAACATCATTATTTCATAAATCAATATACAAGGCAGTAGAAGAATATTACGTTTTTTGAATTGTGGTTTTTAAATAATAGCTGAGGTAGCGCAGAAAAAGCAATATTTGAATAGTATGTAGCCGATTCTAATAATGCGAGAAAGTATGCGCTGTTTTAGCTTGGCTAGTTTTTCATAATTTAGTAACTGGATTTATCCACTTTCTCATTATCAGGTTTTTCTATCGAAAATCTACCGTTTTTTCTCAGCATGATATAACTTTCCTCATACTATGTATATTACACTGTATATACGTATGAATATAGAAAAGAAAACTAGTGGACACTTAAAGGAAAGACATCAAAAGCTGTTGCAGACTAGAACATTGATTAGGGGAGCCAGCCTTGCCAGAGATCAGAGAATTAATTTTAGTGAAAATCCTGTGTATGGTTAAGGTGCTATGTTCACACAGACATTTTGGGAGAAACACATTTTTTCCATTCCCTAAAACTGGCTACTATACTACATATTTGAGAAAGTAATTACATGATGTAGGGAAAAAATAATACTAGGAGGGATGGGAAAAACTGACATTTTCTTCACTTTTTTGATATTAGGAACTCACAAAATGTGCTTTTGTTGAAAAACTATAACATTTACCTTCCATTTAATTTTGAATTGAAATAATTGTAACTGGTGTAAAGTAAAAATTAAGATGTAATTCAATAGATCATAAAGCAAATTTCTGTAGTAAGTTTTCTGTTTTGGATGGATAATTGTGTTTATATTATTCCATTGATTTCAGATAATCTTAATGGTTTTGTTTACCATTGTTCTTGTTCTTCTTCTTCTTCTTAGGTGCTCCAGGAAGAGCAGCTATGCCGTCTTTAGGGAACCTCTCAATGTTTCGTTCACGGTTATGGTCATCACTGGAAAATTTGTTTGAGTCTTCAATATACAAACATTGTGTACAAGTGAGTAAAAATTACTGTTTGCAATTCTTGTAGCCTGTTGCATTTACAAAAAATAAGTCAATTCCTTTTTATTTTAAACTAAATTAATACACAATATCAATACAAAGTATCTAATAAAAAATGAAATGTGCAGGACAGCTTATATTGAGAAATATGTAAACACTTCATTGTGATTTACAATAAAACCCTGTTTAACTATTAAAACTCTGTTTTAAGAGACTCCTGCTTAGAAGGGAATATGTGCTGTTCTGGGTCCTATTATATAATGCACTTTTTGTGCATGAGACAAATTTAGAAAGAATATAAGCATTTCCAGTGTATAATAGACATAATATTGGTTAGAGATAATTTTTTTCTCCTATGAGTGAAAGAAGTCAAACCAATAAATTGTCTCTTGCAGTGTGTCTACGGCCTCATTGTTGTCACTCATAAGCACCTTTGGCAAAGGCTGCTTTAAAACAGCATCCTGTTTGCAGAAATACTCTTCCAGATAAAACCTTAGGGCCTGTGTTCTTCGTTGGATCTCATTCTAGCTAATTTCCGCATCATGTTCATGTGAGAAGGAACAGTGTGAGCCATGTAGTAGCTGACAAAGAGTAAAATTCATAATCTTAACATACACTGTTTGTTGAATTGTCTATTGAACCATTTACATGGAAGGCAACATCTCAATGTAGAGTTAATTTTTTTGAGAACTATTTTCATTGCTTTGAAAAGGAAGTTCATGCCAATGAGGGAAAAACATGACATCATATGACAAATTGAAAACAGTAAAAATGTAGGATTACCATATGCAAAGATATACTGTATTTATGTGAATATAACTCACCTTGAATATTTAATAACCCCTAATTCTGAAGAGGCCTGAGAATTTTTAAAATTTATAACTGATTCTTACTATTTAATCAAAATAAAATTACAAAATGTCTTATTGTCCAGAAAATTGTCTTGATGAGAATGTTAAGACTTAATTGCTGAACTGCTTGCTATTATTTTCTTGTTTCTTAATACCATCATAATCATGGTTTTTGACACCCTCATGATCTTCACATGTATCAATGTTTCTTTCTATGTGGACCTTCTTTCATGCTGTGACATCTGACTTTTTGGGCCCCTCTTGAAAGTTTTTGCGCACTAAATTTGTGTTGTTCATAGTAGTCATAGACGCCATCTACCAGAGAGTTTTCTACGAACATTCCGTTCTGTCGCCAGTGAATCTAAGGTCACCCCAAAGAGTATATATGGGTCACCGGATTTTCTATCTGTCGCGCGCATGTTGATGTGCCTCTGTTTCTGTTCAAGGCGCAGATTCATATCCGCCGGACTTCGAACCGAGATTTCGCGCGGCATCGTCGAACCCGCACCGTGTAACACTCGGCATTCATTTTCACGTTACGTTTCATTTGATACAATGCCATTCAGTTAGATTCTTTTTGCCGGTCCATTCATAAATATCGGTCTGAATTACCCGACAAATTCGCGATGGATGCCTAGAATACGAACGCGAATATAATTACATATGTAGATACGCGCGCGATATTTTTACCGTCTTCGCAGTTTATTATTAAGTCAACATTTACGAGTTTCGTGACTAATGTAAAAACTTAAATTCTGACGAGGCTTAATCTGAAAATATACATAAATCGACAGAGATATACTTCAAAAACAAGAACAAAAAAGACAAACTTCGTATTCGTGTAAATACGAGGTACTTATATTTATATTTTCCATTTGCAAAAATTTCTGTGTTTAAGAATAAAAAAAAAATGTCTCTCTTAACAATTTTACAGTATTTCAATGGATACGAAATTGATACTTCATTCTAAGATAGTATTATCTGGTCCTGATGCAAACAGACTTGAATCTCTTACTCTTCAACAGTATGCTTCTAATTTTCAATTTAATCTAGGTATCTGTAAAAAAAAAAAAAAAAAAAAAAAAAAAAAAAAAAAAAAAAATTGAAAAAATCACAGACAAATGGAATTCTCATTATCAATGTTTATTTATAATTCTTTCTCCTATTTGCATACTTAAGGCATAATCCATAAAAGGTTTTAATTTTGTCATTTTTTAAAAACTTTAATCAAAAAAATTTCTCCTTTGTAGATAGCATTACTGGAACGCACCCTGTCAAAAAAAACACGAGACAGTCTGTTGATGAGCAACCAGCATTCAACCTACCTTGATCTGCTGCCTGGTAACACACAAAATTTGGCAACCAATTTGTGGAACAATATAACGACTCTCCTAGCAAAGCAACTCGTACTTGCTTCTCAAAGTGAGTGTATTTATCTGCCCATTGATCCTTTTTTCTAATTATTACATGCTTGGCAAATTTTCTTTCCATATAATCCATTAAAGGAAAATAAAATGAAGAGCTGCAGCAGTTACAAGATATACTATACATGCCACAGCAAGCCTTCCACTATTCGTAAATGTGAACTCTTTGTGCTCCTATGTCTTGTGGGGCTCAACATTACAAAATTAGTCTTCCAATTTAAAGACAAGTCCCATTCAACACACAGTTTCCTTTTTTCTTTTTTTTTTTCTTCTTCTTTCTTCCTTTCTTTCTTTGTTTTTTTCAGATCTCCAAATTCATGTGAGTTTGAACAGGGCTCAACTGTGAAGGAAATAATTGGTAGATGTGTTGTCTTATTCATTGTAAAATATTATATTCATGTATTCATATTGTTTAGACATATTATTAGCCTACTAATTGGTTAAACTTTTGTTGATGTAAACTAAATACATATATTTCTCATTCTGATAGCTCAATGACTACAGTCGAGCTAACCAAATTGGAAATCTGATGTCAATTTCAGAGTGACGTTGCAGAAATTTTGTTGAGAAAGAAAGTTTTCACCCAACAGAGAATATCAAATGTGAACAATGCAAATATATATCATATTTTTATTATGTCATTTGAATATTTGAGACAGTTTAGTTAACAGTTAGACAACAGTTTAAAGACAGTTATTAACTCGTTGGAAGTGCAGTACAGTAATGTGATACAATGAAATTTGTTTTCATTGTTTCTTAAATAAATTACCCCTTCTTTTGTGATCCAAAGCCTTAAAATCACCAATGTGTTGCAAGCACAGAGGTAGGGCATTTGTGGGATTTAAGTAAAGTACTGATGGGTCTGCAGGACGAGAAGAATTAGGAGTGCAAAGGGTTAATATCTCAATTTTGGATGGGTATCTTATCTTGTTACTATTCCCAACTCTTCATAAACATGCAAAAGACAAATAATAAAATAAGCCACACTTTCACCAAAATCAATTATTGGGAGCTGGTGGCTGGTGGTGGTGTAAGCTGGTGTGGCATACCTTTTTCCTGTCCCATGCCTTTGAAATAGAATATTGCATTTCATCTGTTAATGAATGGTCCTAAATCAGTAGCTGTGTCGGAGCTCGAGTGAGAAATTTTTTAAGGTTTACCAATTTGTTTTCTTACACTCATACTGTCTGTTAATGTTCATCAATAATTCATTATATATTCATTTCATATATAATATATTGTATATAAAAACAGCTTTCTGTTTCAGCTTTTCTTGTTTCTTTTATTTTGTAATGAATTGTTATTGTAACAGGTAATGGCATTTTTTCTAGGTACATCTTTTTTAAAGCAAACTTTGGAAGGAGAATATCCTAAATTTTTAAGATTGTACTTGGATCTCTGTAAAAAGTTACAGGCTGCGGAACAGAGTGCAGAGCAAGTAGAATGTATTGATACAAAAAACTGTAGCGAAGGAACTGAGAACACAATCTTCTGTCTTAAGTTAGTTTATCATATTTTTTGTACTAACGTCATGTTATTGAAATAATTTTTACCCATATCAGAAAATATGATAGATGATCTTGTTGCAGCCGAGAAGTAGTAATTCCATTTGAAAATGCTTATTTATCGTGCTCAGTGTCTCGTTTATTGGACCCTGTGAACCTAATGTTTTCTGGGGAAAATGTACCTTCTCATGAAGAAGTAGATTCATTAATCAGAACAATTACAAGGTAAACTAATACTCTAAGATATTATTTATATACGTGAAAATTTAATTCAAAGTTATTATGGACAACCATTTTGGTTTGTTGTTTTGAGAATTTTTGAGGTTTTGAAAAGTGGTGCACATTAGTTACCAGAATTTGCGATATTTGTTTCAGCGAACTAAGCGTGTCACTTGTTGATGCCAATCTGAGTCGAACTGTTGCTCGCAACATTAATAAAACAGTGAGGCTGTTCTGTTTAAAGTGTGAGCAGATGGTGGTTACTGGAGGAGAAGCAACACAAGTCATAGGTAGGTTTAATAAGTTTTAATAAGAAACTTCTGTTCTTCCATCATTATAATCTATTGTCCTATATTTGGGTACCTTATATCCCAAATTCTGGACTAATGAGGTTTGTATTCCTCAAATCATAAATTAATTTTTCTTAAAAGACAAATGCTGTCGGGAAATGAGGAACAATTTTTGAGAATAATTTCAGTTGCAGATGATATATTATTCCTATTGAAGATATAGTATATTTTGTCAAATTTTACAAACTCCTTCAAACATTTTTCAATTCCATAATTTGAAGATAAGCACGAAGAAAATGTTGAAAGAAATTATTTGGATGTTTTTGAGAAAATTAAATTGGAGCAATTTGTAAAATTACTTTTAGAACATGTTAAATTTAACTGTATAAAAAAATCATTAAAACTCAGAAGTTAAAATTAAGTAGTTACATGCAGTATATTTTCTTTTGGAAATTGAGTATTATTTTTATTAGATGCGAGTACTGCTGGTCAGGTCATGAATGTATCCATTGCCAATCTCCTCCATTATCTGAATGGACAAGTTAAAAGAGTGATCACCAATATGAAAAACAGCTTGCCTCCAGAAACTATGACCATAGTTCAAGAAGCTTTAGTAAATACTGAGAATCTGATTAGAAGCATTGTAAATCCATTACTTTCATCTATATCAGATGCAATTGAAGCAATTATTTTAACTGTACATAATGAAGATTATTCTATGTAAGTATTTCATTAAGATATTCATTTTTTTATTATTATTTTTCTTGTGAGGTAGAAAAATTGTTATATTTGTCCACTTTTTATCTTTAATGATTAACAGGATGACAGTTACTCTTCCAAGTGGTACAACTGCTATTAGTAGGAAAACAGACCCTACATGTTCCTTGTATATGAAAGAGTTACAAGCTTTTATTTCTAGATCAGTGAATAATTATCTTTCACCATTCCTCAATCAAGAAATAGTATCAAAGAGGTATGGTAGAATAGAAATGTAGACTTTGTAGAATGGTAGAATATAAACAGGGGATGATTTCCACTAAATTTGTAATTTTTATTTTCTCTAATAATTTCAGTTCTAGTCCTGTAGCTGGACGATGTTTAGAACTCTTTTTACGTCACACAAGTTTAGTTCGACCTCTTGGAGATGGTGGTCGCATGAAGTTAGCAGCTGATTTTGCGCAGGTTTGATTTTCTGGGTTTTCCAGAATCTTCCAGAAATTCTGTAATTGAATAAAAAAACTTGTATAAAAATTAGTAAATTTCAAAAGTTTGTGAATATATTTCTAATTATTTTAAATATTTTTAAAATTTTCAGATGGAATTGGCTGTTACTCCTCTGTGTCGCCAAGTTGCAGAATTGGGTCAGGCATACAAGACGTTAAGAGCATTTCGCCCTCTCTTATTTATGACTCCAGAGCATGTTGCTAGTTGTTCAGCTGTAGGAGAAGTAATTCCATACAGTTTAGTTCTTTTATCTCTTTTCTCTCGGGGACCACCAGAGTTACCATCACCCCATCAGGTGAGATACTTTACTCTGTGAACTGAAGCAAATATGATTAATTTTTTATTACTGCTGAGTAGAAGTTACTTTTGATAAATGTTTCATTCACTTCTTTAATTTTTAATTTCGTTTTTAATGTTTGCTTATACATATGCTTAAATGCGAAATAAACAGAGCATTTAATTACATGTTACAGAGTGCAAATTGGTCAATAAGCCGCTTTTCGCAATGGATGGATAGTCACCCTTCCGAGCAAGAGCGATTGGAAATAATGAGTGGTGCATTGCAGCGGTATCAACAAACAATTCGTCAGCGTGGTGAAACAAAGTTTCATGATGTGTATCCTGTAATGATAGATATTTTGGAACGTGGCATGGGAAAAGCTTCTGCAACTTGCTTGTCATGATCCAATTTTGTAACTACTTTTTATCAATTGAATACAGTTAAATATAAAATGCTTTACTCAATGTTTCAAAACACATTATTTGAACCAAATAATCCTTTCACTTTCAAAAATTGTATTGTATTATTGTTCAAGAAAAAATTGAAAGTTTGTGATATACAATCTTAAGCAGAAGATTTGTCACAAGGGGCAATTAATCGTCTTTAATACAGCATTAGTATTTAAACAGATCATTCATAATTAGCCTTAATAAAAATATTGTGATATTGAAACTCAAACTATGTTACACTGTATTTTTCATGATACCTAACAAATAAGTTTCCTGAATGATTTTTTCTAGTAGATCTCATTGAATTATGTAATTAACTATCCAGTTTCAAGGTGTTTTCTGTTTCTACTCTTCTCAAACTGAATTCCATTAATTTCAGTTAGTAGAAAATAGATAAATGGATAGATCAATAGAATTTTTATCAAGAATGCTACTGTGCGAGATTCAAGAGATAATATAGAACACGAAATGATATAATATAGAAATGTTACACTGTGATCTGAAGCTTAAAAAAAGTTATATTATTGGAATAACTAGATTTCAAATTTCTTCTTGTGACAAGTCAAGTGAGATTTTTTCAAGAAAGTGAGAATCGTCCATACTTATTAATGTCTCGAATATTTTGGGCAGCGACAATGACGTCTTGCGTCCACTGCTGGTCTTGGTCATCCTAACATATCACCTGATACTAGTAATGAAGAAACTGACGAGTAAGTTCGTCTTGTGTTTCTTCTGCTGTCTTCACTCATTGTTTACCGTCTTCTCCTCTCTTCATGAGACAAAAATAAAATTTGACGCTCGGAATTTTCATTGTCCAGTGTGATATTTTTCGAAAATTATTCTTTCTTACTTGAAGATGTAATTCAGTGACTGCTGTGAATTGTCTTGTATTCTTGGCTATCCGGGATAAGCCGCATCTCAGTTAATTGGCTCAGTTAACTGTCAGCAGTATAGCTCTGAAGAAGGCCACAGCAAGATGGCCGAAATGTCAGTCCAATTAACTGAGACGTGGCTTATCCCGGATAGCCAAGAATACATTGACTCCGGACGCGTAAGCCTATGAACCATGTTAATTGTCTTGGCTACTATAGATCCTTCTGTGCTATACTTCAGAAAAAGAAAAGAATTTAAAAATTAAATTTTTTTCTAGATGCCTGAAACACAACATGAATTCAATTCACCAATGCCAGTGTAAACTCATAACACTTCTCAAGTACGTTTATGACTGTGTCAAGTTGTTAAACAGACATATTTTTCGAATGAGGTCAGTGTCTAGTATTACAAAACAACGTGAATTTATGCTTCCTAAAAGATAACTTCAATGTGTGTGCTGAATAGCATTCCTTCACTTCGCAATGTGTGTGGAAAGGTATCCTCTCACTACGTCGCAAGGTCCCTTTCCATAAGCAACTATAATATTCTTAATAAAAGCTAGACTTCAATTCTGACAGGAACCTAACATTTTACCCATGAAGTTATTTAAGTGGGTTGATGGATAATGTGAAGAACATTACCTTTATATTTTTGGCAACTCGGAATATTTAGAAAGAAAGCTATTGCAACAATGATATAATAAAAAACCACAAGAAGGCACAAAAATATACATAGCTTCACTTCTTTATGAAAAGGTCAATTAACCGTAATCTCTGTGAAGTGAAATAAAAGAAGTATCAATTTAATTGTATCACATATTCTTACTCGTATAAATATCCCATCTGATTAAAACTAAATTGAATTTAATTGGCTATGAAGGTCATATCTGGCTCATTAAAGTCGCAAAAAATTAAATTTCTGTTACAATTATAGCACGAGTTAAATATGATTAGCTTTAGTAATGCGAAAAATTCATCGAAAAGTTTGAAAACTAATATAATCTCAAAAAACAATATTTGGAAAAAAATAAAAATCCAGTATTTAATATTTTTGCTTATACTCTTCACAGAAAAAAAGTTTAAAAATCGGGGACCTCAAAGTAAAATTATCCCAATTTCTGCTATTTGACCTGGAATGACCGATGTCATGTAAAGTTTCTCAAAAACCCCACAGTTTTCTGATAAAATTAGTTCTGCATTTTCAGAAACGCTCAATGACCATTTTTTCAAAAATTAGTAGTGCTAATTGTACTTTAAAAATGACATAAATGTTCATTTTGGGGTTTCTTTGGTTTTTCAAAAATTAGCCAATGTATTTTTTTTAAAATATCTCTCCCTTTGTTAATATGCACATGCACAGCATTTTGTAAACACTATTGCATTTAAGTTCAAGTTGTCTTAAATGACTTTATTTAAAACTTTTCAAAAACTCCAAAATTTTCTGTGAAAAAGGTCTTCAAATTTTGCATATACAGCAACAATTAAACGCCATTTTCTTTAAAAGGCTCAAAATTTTTCAATGAAAATTACCATTTATGATGAGGTTTTACTCTTTTTTAATATTCTTAAAGTACTAATATATTAATTCTACTATTAGGAAAACAAAAAATTTAAAAAAAAAGGATTTTGGGTGGCGATAGATGGCATCTACAAGACAATAGGACAAAACTGCAAAGCCAATCCACACCAAAGAAATTTAAAAACTTTACTACTAAGGTCTGATCCATTATGTAGCACCACCAGCATTCGTTACCAGGATCTGGCAATGAGTGTTTCTGATGAAAATTAGCCGCGTTTTCCCGCAGCTTTACAGCGTAAGCAGTAGCAAGAAAGTTAAAAACTGTTGCTGGTTGGAAACCCTTTTGCAGGTTCAGTAGTTTTATAATATCAGATAGCTGTTACAAAGAGTGTGAAAAATGTGCTGTTATTGCTCCACTAGTTTCTAAAAAATATATCCCTTGTTCACTCCATAAAAATATCCATTGTTGATCTTAACTAGATTTTTAAACTACATAAGGTGGAGTTCTGATCCACAGTCCGAGAGGTGCGAGTTGGAGCAGGAAAAAATTACCTTGGAGTCAATTTTGGAGCTGTTAATTTTTATGAAAGAGCATATAAATCCATAAGCAATGGGGAGAGGGGCCTTTCCCTTCCACCAACCTTCACGATGGCACACCAAGACAAGGTAAGCCTTTCACATCTAAAATGAAATTCTGCAAAACATCAATTAAACATACTTCATTCTCTTCACTGAACTTCTCAAGACTTCAAGTTTTCTGGACTCATTACATATACTCTAAATGAGAGGATATCTCTCTTGGTATATCACTTGCCATATCCTATTAACTTGTACAGTGAGCTCAAATCAAGTTATTGCCTTACGAGTACTTTTCAAGTCAATTTGTAATGTTTTTTTCTTTTTAATCCTTTGATTTTTTCACTTGTGCTTCAATACATAAGCAACTATTGCTTTTCCAACTTTAGTTATTGAGAATTGAGTATATAAATATTCTACAAATCTGTTCTTGAAAATGTATATTCTTCCTAAATGAGAAATTTATAAAGTTAACAGATAAAATCTTGTAATTTTCTCACTCTCCAAAACTGCACTTACCCAAATGGTGAAATTGTTCAAACAAATGAAAATGATTGGTAGATTGTAATTACAGCTTGTTTTTGTATGAGTCTAAAGTAGAATGTTTTTTTATTTAGCCACGAAACATGATCTACTTTTATGAAGGGTTTATTCTGTCAAACAAATGATAAATACTGTCCCTGATTATACCAGGGAAATTACTTAATTTCAGTTTAAGAAAACAATGCCAAGGCAGTAATTTATACATGAGCAAAAACAATTATTAACTTGAAAAGAGAAATGTTTTCCCCACAACCCTTTTCAAAATAAGTAAGCTGACACTAATGCTTAACATAAAAGACAAAAATAATTTATGAATACTTTTTATTAATTAAGTCAAGGTGTATTTATTTACATGGGAAAATAAATACTATTTTGCAATAAATAGTACAACCAAATATCATTCTAGACAATCTCTCACACATGCCTAAAAATTTCATTCAGATACATTCATTGCTTATTCAAAACTTGGTAGTTTGCCAACAATGCCAATTTTTTAAATACATCTTATGCTTTTCACCTTGTGTACATGTAGATAGCAAGCGATTGTCAATTGATCCGAATATCAAGCAACATCAGACCACAAAATTTGAAAACATTTGATAATTTGTACATTAATCAGGAACTTTTCAAAGGTATTATCAACATTTTTCTGCAAATTATTACAATCAGAATTTCATGTTCTCTATTTCATGCACTTTGGGGAATTATAAGAGTAATGACAAATCTAGTAATGAAACCATTGATAAATTAATTACAAGCAACACTTCCTTCAGAATACTTTCACTCTAACATTAAAACCAACTATTCAACTTTATACTAATGGCTCAAAGAAAATGCATCCTCTCATCAAATATTCATGTCTAACAATACAATAAAATAAATTTTGAAGGTGTTAAGCATACGATAAGATCAATTTTGAAACATACTGCTCATTGATAAACCATACCTTTTATTCAAGACATTTGCATCAAAATTAGCTGTAAGTGTTCAAGTGTTTTTTCCATTCACATTATAGTAACTATAAAACTTAAAAGTTGACTCCCTGACAATCTCATTCAACAGTTTTGTTAACTATCTGCTTAGAATGTTGCGGAAAAATGTCAAATGTATCAAAAGCAAACACCACTTAAATTCGCCTTCTAAATCTGATCACTTCCCATCCAATTTCAAACAAGGATAAAATTGATTCTTGCATTCTAAGTATTAAATAATATCTCACAAGATTTTAATTCTTTTAAATATCTCTATATGTAAACATTTTCCTGAGTCATTAACGAGCAGGAATGTATTCTGAATAAATGCATTCAAAATCAGACCCAAGAAACCAAGTTTATTACGAAAATAAGACTGAATAATAATTGAAAGATTAACATGGCTGTGGCACTATACAACTCTGGAATGATGACTTCAAACTAAAAATCAGCTTGTAAACTATTTAAAACATGATCGTTTTATTTCATTTAATTCTCCTTATCACCCTTATTTAAATTTATATCCAGAGAAATATAAAACAAATTTCACTTCACAAAAGGCAGTTGAAAGAAATTTTTATTTTAATTTCATTCATCCAACAGTTTCTTCATATCCAATACTGACTCAAGTAGCGAATGTTTTAAAATAATAACACCAACAGGAAACAAAAATAAAGAACATGTTCAGTAATAAATGAAATAGTTTTTAACAATTCAGATGTACATAATTGGTGACTGATTTTCAACAGTTCATTATCACTGCACAATATTGTAATGCAAAATCACCTGTCTATTTACAAAACAAAGGTATACAATGTCCAACAAAATGATGAGTGCAATATACACAAATTCATAGTCTCTCCTCATCTTGCAAAAACGAGGTAGCTATTCTTTCCAAGTCATCAAGGCTGAGAGTTGTCATAGATTGATTGAAACGTTTCATAAATAATTCAACCACTTTTTTTGAATCACGTTCATTGTAGTATTGTCTAAGGAATCTGTAGGTGGAATCTCTAAGAACCGTTGTTTCTGGCTCTTCTGTTTTTATTAAGATGTGAAGAATAGATCCTTCTCTAACTGCATGATCTCCAATCTTCCCTTCTGAAAGATTTTTTGATGTTTGATCTAGAGTTTAAAAATTTGTAAAAATGAAAACAAAATACACTTACCTGCAAGACAATTCCCAGCAAATATTATTCGCTGTTGTTTTACTGGAATACCTAATGTATTAACAATTAATCCTTTCAATTCAAGAATGTTCATTTCTGGGGTCACCTAAAATAACCAAAACTTCACTATATAATTTGACAGCAAATGAAACAAACAATGGTACGTTTTTTATAAGAAAGAAATAATAATACGAGGTAAGTAAAATACTTGCCTCTATTGTAGCCTCCTGGCCCTGTAAACTCTTCACTATTATTTTCATCCTCTCAATGAAATGAAAGCATACAATTTATGAAAAACTTCTCTGCCCATTTACAGAGTAACTTAATGAAGAACCGGGCACTCTGGAGAAATCAAGTTCGTCTACGTTCGTCTATGTGGTTGAACAACCAATGCACAGAAATCTGCAAACGCTACACACAAAAGCACACAAAATACACAAATTTTATACAGGATTCCTAGGCGCTTTCAAGCTAAGTATAATATTTTCATATTATATTTATAAAGAAACAATGTGTTTATGCTTACTTTATCCACGATACCTCAAAAAATGCCACTTACAAACAATTATATACAAGACTCATCGTAAATTTCATCCCGGTAACAGTCTACGATACGTAATGTATAATTGGAGAAGGTTGGCAACGATTGATATCAAAGAATACAAAGGGATTGCAGTAGAATTTCTATACAACATAACATAAAATTGAAAGTAGAAACTAAAAGATGTAGTTACAATTAATTATAATTGTCACAAAATAAGCTATAGAAATTGCTTTTAATACGCAAAGTTAAACATACACATTAATCAGTGACAAAATAAAAGATGGTTAATAGTGTATCTTCCAACTAATTGAAGGTCTTTGGACTATTGACAACGATTGCCCAAACATATAGGGAAATTATCGAATTTTAAAATAATTTCGTGTCAGTATCTTAATGAAATTAATTTTTGCACTAATAATTCATCTAAAATTCAATTCTAATTTCAAGAAATTAAGTTTTTGTGCCAAAAACAAATTGCATTGCAATATTTTGCAAATAAGTTGCTGCCAACTCCAGAAAATAATATTAATTTGAGGGCTAGGTACAGAAAATGTATTAAAAATCCGTCTCTAAGGACATTGTTACAGTGTATTTTAACGCGTCTTAAATCCTTATTGAACTAAGAAAATGAATGCATTAGCAATGAATAAAAAAGTGTAGCTTTTCATTTAGTGTTTCCTAGCCTGAAAAGTTAGTTATTCACAGCAGCGTACAACAGCTCCAAACGCTCCAAAACAAGAAAGGGCGTGGAGTGTATTAGAGTATGTGAACGAGTGTCACTAAGTAATGCTGTAGCGCTCTTCTAGAGTTAAAAGTTTCATTGATACAGGATATCGAGTGTGAATGCTATGGGTTTCAGAATTCCATTATCTGTATTGACACTCCTTACATTATACTTTTGTTATGCTGGTATAAATATATATATATGTGTTGAAATCTTCCTGTATGTACAATTTTCCAACTTTATAAATATTTTCAATGATTTTTAAAATTATTTCAGCTGGCCAGTCTAATTGTCACATTCCATTCAAAATTCGAGGTTCGTGGTTCTCATGGGAAAATGGAGAGAATACTTTAACTGTAATAGATGCAACTTCTATGTCCAGGAAAGGGATATGTGTACTTTCCAAAGAAGAATATCATGTTAATTACACATTTGTGTTCAGAAAAGAAAATTGTTACAATTGTATAAAACTTCTTGTTCGCACAGTCAATGTTCTAGAGAAAATAGAATGTAAGTTTAATTATGAAGTGAAGCTAATTGTATTTTAATGCTCTTGAGAAATTTCCATCAATATTAATTTGTTTTGTTAAACAGCTAGTTGTGTGAACATTCCTCCTCAAGAAGAAGTTTCTGTAGAAAGGGTGTGTCAAGGACTGAGATCAGATCAGCAGTTAATAACATTGTTTTCTGAGAATTATGTACCAGTGAATTGCCGATCCAGTTTGGAAGGAGTATGGCAATTCGCTTACCAGGTAAATTGTATTTTCTGTTGTTCAAGGTTTGTTCAAGGTTTGTGAAAAGTCTTTCTTTGTCTTTTAAATAAGAAAACAATTTGTAGAATTTTTACTGCCTTTGTTTTTCAGAATCGTTTCCGCTTCACTGGTGAGTGTAATCATCCTGATGCTCAAATTCGATCCTGTCAAACTGCTGGTACACAGTTTCTCATCACCAATCAGAAATTCAATATCACTTATAAAAAATGTACAGGAATGGCAGAAACATTTGATGGAGGTATGAAATTTAGTACAAAATGTTCCTTTATTTAACACTAGTGGACTGGGAAATGCTTTGCCATTGCAGTGTATTACACACAACACACTACTGGCATGTGCATGTGATTGCTAATCATATGAGCGCTCAAGACCCCCTGAGACATGTTGTGTCAACTGAAGTTGAAACAAATTTTTAAAAAATAATAAAACAAACTCATGTTTTATGCGCTGTACAAAAATTCCACTAAATGAAAGACTTCCTCGCAAGTTTGGGTTAGTTCTGTCTCCTGGTTTGGATAAGTTTGTCAAGTATCCTATTATTAAAACCTTATCTCTCAAATTTGGGCATGTATTCGCTATGACACTATCTTGAAGAAGTTTCATTTACTTGTTCGAGATTCAAGTAACAATTCTGGCCGATATTTCACATTTACACCAGCTGAATGCTTATATGCAGTGAAGTGCTTAAACCTTGATTGTGTGGCGGATAGTGTAGAGTTCAGGGGCTCTTGAGTCATAAATTAATAAATCATAAACAATGCTCCCAAATGTCCGATTTTATTTAAACACTCCCGTTAGTAAAAAGAAATAAGGGTGAAAATTTCAGTGAAATAGGTCTAGTTGTTTTTGTATCTTACATGCGACATTCACACATTTCTTTTTCTTTATGTATAGATATAGGTGTGGCTAAAATTCAAAAAACTTCATTTTTGAATTAACTGGGTAATTTGCACAGTTGTCAGTCTGATTGGATAAAGCTGTACAAATGACGATGAATAGGTCATTTTCATTCCTTTCATTTTCATCCTTCTAATTCTGGCAATAGCCACAGGATGCTGGCTAAAGTAAGATAATTGAGTGTGAGGAACCATGTGTGTTGATAAGAAGTTCTGCGGTATAAAAATGCACAGATAATTGTGTGTTGAACAAATTGAAAGTTGTTTTAAGTAAATGTTGATGGCCAGTGCCTTGTCACCCCCATTAGGAATATGTAGAAAAGTATGAACTGTCTTGTATAATGAGATTAGGTTAGGTGGTAACATATAAATAGAAATTTATTATTGACTCAGTGGAATTTTTAACTACACATTTTGCTTCTTATTAACTTTGACTTAATGCCATCAGCATTGTGATTTCTGAGTATCATATAATATCTGCCATTTCTCGTAACCCTAATGTAGTCGCCTCATGCTGGCTAACGTCAACTTTATTCAGCCTAAGTCTGCACTATGCATTGAAGCTGTTTCTACTTTGGACTTTATCCACCCATTTTGCATCATGTGGACATTAGTTGTAACACATACACTGCAATTTTTAATTTATTTTCCATTGCTTTAACTCACATATTGTAAATTTATTTTCAGTGGTTGAATACAGTTGTCTTGGGGATTGGTTTGTGGATAAAAATCATTTCTTTGCTGTGGCCAACACAAAAGAATCTCGAAAAGATGAAAAGTATCGTTGTTTCTTGAAAAACAGGGATGACGACCTTTACCTTGGTGTATCCATTACAGCTGAATGCAATACTTTAAAAACTGTAGAAAAAAGCCCAGAAAGAATGCGGGTTACTCCAAGTAAGTTTTATTTTATATTATCTGCTTGTTTTTGTGACTGTGTAATTTTATGTTTACTTAAAAAATATTTCTGTTAATGTTTTAATTAAATATCTCTTTTTTTTTAATACAACTTTAAATAAGACCCATTCTAAGGAATGCTTTATCGTGAGTGGTTACAATATTCTCTGCAAATGGATAATTTAGAGTTATTGTGCAGAGGTTTATGACAAGTTTCTTTCAATAATTTGCATTTTGGGTAGATATTTCAATTACATTAAGCAGGGATCTCAAATTAAGTGTAATTAATGGGTCAAATCTGGCCCATGTAACATCTAGATTACGGTCTCTGGCATTGGGAGGAAAAATTGAGGAGTGGTGATACATTGGTTGGAGCAGAGTCTGAGGAAGAGGAGGAGGATGAGACTACTGGTGGGGAGAGAAGGAGGGCATGTCTTTAGACGTGATTATACACGGTGTGTATAATTAGAAAATAAAGGAAATTAAGCAACATCCATGATGATTATCACCATTACATTATTACCAGTTACATTTCCCTGTTCAAAGATTTTGTGGTGAAATGCATTCTGACACGACTTGAAAATCAGTCATGCATGAATGTTCAGTTTCTATCATTACCAAACAGTGCACTGTATTTTGGAAACTTATCCATAAGAAAAGTGTTTGGGAGCAAGATCGCGTAATAAACAAAATCCCATCAAATAAACTACAGCTATCTTGTCCATCTTAGCATAGAAGTCGTAGTATTAAGGAGGTGTGGACCAAACAATTTAGTGAACGCTTGCAGTAAAATTAGGAAAGTTGTGTGCTAGTGTGTCAAAATGTCTATGAAGTGTATGTGCAAAAACCCTTCGGGTACAGATGAAATTTTGGACTAAATGCTTGTTGTATATTTTCTCTGTGATTTGTAATTGATTTTTATTTTCTGATATATTTACTTTGATATATGATGCTTTATTTTGTTTCATTAACAAAATTATATCAAAATAGTGTACTTAAGTTATATAGTAAATTTTTGGCAACCTTTTATGTGATGGAAAAACCTGCCAAATTGGAAACATTTTGAAGGAACCATTGGGTTCCATCTTAGACATGTTTTACTGTATATTTTGTTTTAAAAATAATACTTAAAATTTGCCAAATATGTTAATTAATTAATAAAATAAAATTCCACACATGTATCTTCACCCACCAACAAAATTTGTTGTATCTTTTATTTAAGAATTTCATTTTAAAATTAACATTAATTGCTTTCTACAATTACTGTTTCTAATTCATTAATTTATTTACAGTATAATTGACTGTCAAGTAATTCTGAGTGATAAGTGTCCATGATTATGACGTAGCTCATTTGCATATACCAATATCGTCAGTACAAAGTTATCCAATTACAAACTTCAGAGAATAAGAAAATCTTAATAGTATTTAACAACAATAATTTCCTGTCAGCTGCCATTTACCCAAAGTACATTTATTTGAAATTTTCTTATTTTTTCAATCTTCTAATGGTAGAACAGAAATATTCCTAAAAATATTACAGTAGAGTAAAACCTTGTCTTGTATGGAAAAATTTGGAGCCGTTTTTAAGAAAATGACGTTTTACAATTTCTGAAAAGGCAGAATATTAAGCCCATATTTACTGAAAACTTTTGAGTTTTCATGAAACTTTTGTAAGACATGGTTTGGAGTCCGTGTACTCATAAATGCAATGATTTGAACAAATCACTGCTCATGTAAACAAAAGAAACATTAAAAAATTTCAATTATGTAATTTTGGAGAAAAACAATACACCAAATTGGCATTTAGGTCATTTTGTACAGTACATTGAGTACTATCCCTACAAAACATTTAAAGAAAAAAAATTGGAGCTGCTTTTGATATGTTTTAATATTACACAAAAACAAAAATGTTTAAAAATGATCATGACCTTAACGAAAGAAATAATTATGGAAAACAAATTTAATTTGAAAGAAAAATCTGTATCTTCAATTTTGTAGTTGTAGGTAGATATCAGGAAACATTTTGAGATGGGATCCACGCTATTCTTTTAAACATTCTTTAGTCTAACAACAAAATTTAATTAAAACCAATGGAGCCTTTGTTTTTTTAATATTTAAAATGTCCCAGGGCTTCATGTACAGCACCCCCAAAATTAAAATATCTGTTTCAAATTCAAGAGGTCATCACAGACATATCGAGTGAAGAATATCAATTTTGGAGAAAATAGAAGGTTTAGCTCGCTAGTGTTGACGGACAGATGTTTGCTGTCAATCGATATTTAAGTATCAAGAGTCCACAAAACATAGATTGTGGCTAACCACGTGCTAGAGGATTCCCCTCCCCCCTTAAATTTAGCCACAGGATGTATCCGCTTTTTCATTACCACGACCCTGCAATAAGTTTTTTTGCCACAAATTCGCAGTTTTTTGAAAGTGCATGATCCACAAGGCACGGCACGTGGCTCGCTGCTGTAGTGGAATATTAGGTATGACTCAGTTTTGCAGCTCCAGCTGTCGGAAGGCGCTAGTGCTGTTGGATTTGCTGAGAATGTTGCGGTGGCAGTGGCGGGTGATACCCCAACAGGCAGGAGGTTGCACGTCCATCAAATGACGGATATCTACTTTCCAAATATAATATAAATTTCCATTAAAAATATAAACTGTTCAAATTAATTGAAATTTAAATGAAAGATTATATTGAAACATTACTTAAATAAGTGTTGTGTCCATTCAGGTATATACACCTCCCACGCACGTGGTCTCTGAGTTATACCGGGCACTTAAGTTCGACTCCAGGACATTGCCTGACATGTCTCACACTAATAAAATTATTTTATTTCGAAATTTTCACTACGCTGGTGTGTGTTGTAATAAAGATCCTTACACATACACGCGCACGGAAGTATTATCTACCGAGAGAGGGACATCTTTCCAGGACGGCCAAGTTTACACAACGGAGAAGTTTACACAGAGATCATTCACCATCCTTTTTAATCAATAAATCTAATATCAAATGAAAACAAATTCTCTAAATATCATAAATAATGCATTAAATACCATCAATAATAGACTAAACTTGTGTAGTTTCAATAACAAGTGAAATTCATAAAATTATGTTGCAGTGAGTCGAAGACAGAATATTAGAATTCCCCGGAGATTCTCTGGGTTACTTCGCAGCGCTAGACAGTGCCACTCGCCTGGTTGCCCATAAAGGCCTATGTTAGCCTTGTAAAATCGAAGGGCCAAAGAGTAAATGCAGTAAACCTAGTAACACCTAGTAGTAACCTAGCCAAGAGCACGATGCAATATCCGGCAAGGCTGCAGGCCCTTTGGTTTCAAAATGATTTCATATAAAGCGATATTGCTATAATATCATGAACATTGAATGCCATTAAAAGGAAAATGTATATTCTTAAGATACTATGAGATCTTATTCGATTATCTGGAGGTTGTGCAACCTAAGCACGAGCCGCCACTGCAGAAGAAGTCGCGCAGGTCGCCAACGACCCGGTGGCGGCTAACGTCGTCGGGGCTCCGGATGGCCGAGCATCAATAGAGGCAAAAAAGTGAGAGGAGAGGTTGTAAAATAGCCTCCCTGCAATCTCTAAGATACTTAGGAGTCCAGATTGACGCGAGACTGCGCTTGCGTAGAGTCTGCGAGAAAGCATCGCGTATTTTGCCTAATGTTGAGGGGTCGAAGGCAAAGTAGCTGGAGTCTACTGTCTAGCACTGTTAACTCTATGCTGCTCTAAGCAGCCCTCATTTGGACACGCCTTTGGAATCCAGTCGTACGCCCGCGGTACGTCCGCCTTGAGTGTGTCTCGGGTTTCGCGTTTCGCACGGTTTCATATGACTGCATTTGTGATAGACAAGCCCCCTATAGACCCCAGGCTCGACCGCCGTAAGCGAGAGGGAGCTCCAAATTTGAGTCAATCCCAAAAGCAGCGAATGCGGATTCCGATGCGGAATGTCTTTGGAAGATTTTCCCCTGCCCTCGTAAAAACCCACACGCACGCTCGCGTGCCGAGAAAGAAAAAAGAAAAAGTGAAAAAGAAAGAGAGAATTTGTATATTGAGCGCAGCCATGCAGTTGTGCATGGCATTAGACTATCAGAATTGCAGTGTTCTTGCTGTTTGCAAATGACTGTTAATGATCCCCTAAATCTTCAACAGCACTTGGATTCCTGGAAATTCTTTCTTAGTTCTGGTTAAAGTCAGGCTGCAATGAAATTAGAAGAGTGAAAAATAATATTATTAATAATAATTTATTATTATTATTATTATTATTATTATTATTATTATTATTATTATTATTATTATTATATTACTGTTCTATTAAGGAAGGGACATAAGCCGGTGGATAGTGCATCATCGTATAGGCCCATCTGCCTTTTGGATACCATGGGGAAAATGCTAGAAAGCTTGATTCTTCAGTGCATGGAGAAGCACGTGATATGCCAGACCAGTTTGGCTCATTACCAAAACAGGTTCCGTACAGGCAGATCGACGCTATCAGGGAAACAGTTGAACTGGCAAAAATGGCTAGAGAAGGTAGTGGCTGGAAGAAGGCTTTTGCGCCCTTATAGCAATAGACATTCGGAACGCATTCAAGTCCTTGGGCTAGAAGGTGTAAAAGAGGCATTAGAAAGATTGAATATCCCAGTCTACCATAATAATCTTATAGGTGATTATCTAAGTGAGAAACATTGTATATGAAAGAGATATTGGAGAATTAAAGAAGAATTGACGTGTGGAGCTCCTAAGGATCTCAGCTAGGTCCAAAGAAATGGAACCTGGTTTACAATGACTTTTTAAAGATGGCGCTCCCAAGAGAAGCAAATATTATTGGATTTGCAGATGACACATTGATTGCCTTCGCAGCAGGAAGCTATGACATCCTTGAGATGCGAACAATTAAAATTTTGCATAGAGCAAAAAGATGGTTGGATAAATGGAAATTAGACATGGCGACGGAGAAAATAGAGGCAGTTCTGGTCACCAAGAGAAGGGGTTTTAGGAAGTCAAGAATAGAGGTGGGAGGTAATAAAATACAATGGAAGAAACACATTACCTATTTAGGAGTAGAAGTCGACAATTGCTTGAGTTTTGGACTGCATGCGGAGAAAGTAGCGACGAAGGCAATGGAAGCGGAGGAAATCTAACATGACTAATGCCAAATGTTGAGGGCCTGAGAGAAAAGAAAAGAACTGGTTGCAGGGTCAGTCCTGTCCAAAATGTTACATGCAGCTCCAGGATGGGTGGGTGCTATGATAGTAGAAACATATAGGAGAAGGCTGTCGGAACAGAGAGGGGTAACACTGAGAACCATCTCTGTCTACTGAACAGTCTCTGAAAGTGCCGCCCTTGTGCGAGCAAGAGTACTCCCTATCGACCTTCTAATAAAGGAAAGAACATCTGTCTACAAAAACCTGAAAGAAAGGCACAGTCTAGAAAGGGAGAAGCAAAAAGAAAGGGTGAAGAAAGAAGCAAGAGAGCTCTTGCAGAGAGATCAAAATCTTTCTATAGATCAAAAATGCTGTCACTATCGAAACATTTAAACCATTTATTGATGAGTCGACCAACATTCGTGCAATTGAGATAGCCAAATGCTGTAACATCGTCCTACTACCAGTTTTGAAACATAAATCATGTGAAATTCCAATTTGGATGAAAATGCCCGAAGTTAGACTTGACACTACCAGTGTAAAGAAAAGTGTGTGTAGATCTCTCAAGACTTCTGGACAGAAATGGCATGAGAGGCAACAAGAAGGTGATGAGAGATGTTTTATAATGATGTGTGGCGTGAAGGACACATCATGTACAGAAAACGTCATGGGCTTCTGTGGCCGGAGTCATTGGATACTTGACTGTCCGGGGTGAGCTGTGTTTCAATCGATTGAGCTGACGTTTCGGCCATAGTGTTTTGGCCTTCTTCAGACTGCTGGTAGAAACGTTAGCTCAATCCTCTGGAGACATGGCTCACCCCGGACAGCCAAGTATCCAATGTACAGAAAACATTTGTAAATATAAATTCCAAGGGTCTGAAATAAGAACTGTTTGTGTTGCAGTAATTTGTGTTGATATAAATGCAAATGTAATTTGTGTTTTATGACACTTGACAAGTGTAGTTTTGATGACAAAATATAATTATTTTGGTTTTGAGTGTGCAACCCAAACACTCCTCATGCAAGTAAGGTAAACAGATATTTTCCAAAATGTTCACAATAATAATATTTCTCATTCATAATGACAAACACATCTACATGATTTGAGGGTGTAACCCATGTCATTTTCCTCACAACTGAGAAAAAATGGTTAAGTATTTTTGAAAGGGGAGAAAAAAAAAAAAAGATGATGATAATAATAATAATAATAATAATAATAATAATAATAATAATAATAATAATAATAGTAATATAATGATTATAATTATAATGTAATGATAATTATATTATTATTATTATTATTATTATTATTATTATAATTTAATTTGTAATTATTTATAGGGCCAGTTATGCATTGTAAAAATGTCTTTGTTTGTTGGTATGTAGACTAATGGTTTTTTGCTTTTTTGTGTGTTAATTTTAGTGAAGGCAGAGGTGGTGGAGCCAGGTTGCCGCTTACCTCAGAATTTTTCAGGAGATTGGATAAATACTGCTAATATTGATGCTGATGTATTCATAAATGAAACGCACATTATAGAAACGTGGTATCCAGATGAAGGTCGTTACCGAAAGACTATATATGTCTGTCGAGAACAACGGGATACTAGATTTATGATGGCACGCTTGACTGTGGATGGTTGGTGAGTTAATTGAATACCTATTTCAAAAAGTAAATATGCTTGTTCTCTGCCCATTAATTAATGTATTGTCAACTTGCAGCCAAAAGGATTATGTGTGCTATGATTTTGTACCTCGTCATCACAATATTATTAGATTTAGACGTGGAATTGCCGTTATAAAAGATGACTTTCATACTGTATGCTCTTGGGTGCAGTTCAAGAATAAGGAATCTTGGAAATACGATCTTTTCTTAGGTGATTTTTTAAACATTGAATTGTTTTCATATCACTTGTAGATTGATTGAATTTAATTTGAAATTGGCAATATTCTTCTCTCATTTTCAGCTAAAAATCCTGTTCCTGTACGGTGCCCTGTAGCTGGTAAATTTAATTTTACCCAAAGAGGAGATGTTCCATTTGAGACACGAATTCTGGGTGGTGTTACATTGTCACCGCGTCCAAATATTTACTGCAAAGAAAATATTTCAGACTTCTCAGTATGTGACACTGATCAAAAGGAAATAGCTGTTGATGAAACTTACTGCTTAAGCGTTGATCATTTGGGTCGCCCAGTTGACATATACAGTGAGTTGAATGCATGCTTATTATGTACAAATATACACTTTAATTGTCTATTCATTCATGTAATTTGTACACTTCACCTATGCTCTCAATAGACAATCAAAGTTCCTCTGTACTTTGTTTATCTATTAAAGTTTAAAATTCTGTATTTAAGATTAATGTATATTTGAAATGAATGATCGGAAATATATCTGGAAAGAAAAGAAACTTACTGCTACTGTTAGAAGAATACAGATTAAAACTTATGAATTGTAGTCTGATTTTCATGTCATTGCTTTTCTTATATTTAATTTATTGTTACGAAACCTAAATAACACACACATTAATATAAAAAAAGGTAGTCAACATAATTTATTGGTAAAGGTAGTCCGTAATTGCTAAACTTCGAACATAATAGTATTAAGCTGTTCAAGTATATTGCTGTGGGTATATTAATGTGTTAATAAGCTTGTTTTGTTGAATTAAATGAAATTTATGTACTCATCAGTACATTATTCGACCATAAATGATCATTTGAAAAATAAGAATATTGCAGGTCATTGAATTTTGTGTGTGTGTGATAGAGAAAGTATTTTTGTTTGTGTTTTATTTACTTTTCCATATGCTCCATGATTTTCATTTTTTATTATCAATGGCATTTTTTTACAGGTGATCCTGATTATAAAATGAAGTGCATAGGGTTTTGGAAGGAAAATTTGAAGTCTTACCTTATTACTTACGATGAATTGGATGCTTTTAGTAAATACCGCTGTTGGGTGAGTTTTGTTACAATTTTCAAACATTTTTGTAATTGCCCACTTCAAATAGTGTTCTCTGCATTCCAACTTTTCTGTTTGTAAAGATTTTCAAGACTATATTAAGTTTGCAATCAATTGTTTACTATTTCTGTGAGAAATGTTATTTTGTTTTGAAAATTCTATAGTAGTGATTGAAAAGAAATTACATAACTGTGGTAGTTATAAAAGGTCTTGGGTAAATAAGCTTAAGATGTGAATATGGACTTTCAGTTGACAGAAATGTCTGTATCACATCAGATTACTTATTCAATATCCATTGCTTTATATGGATAGCTTTCTTCTGAATCTTCCTACATCAACAAAAGTTAGTAAGATCATTCTTTGGGTCTTACTCTTTCAAGCTCCCAGGAAATTTGATATGTGGTGAAACATTTAAATAATGCCAAGAATAGTTGTTTACTGCAACACCAGAGTCCTTAATTGTGTTTCACACCGCTTTCCGATGCATATTGTAACGTGCTTCTTATTCACGATTATCTTGCCCGGATTGGGCAGACCTTTTGTAACGTGGTATGGTTCTTCTAATTTTATTTTGCCTTGCTATGTTCGTAAATTAATTACTCTAATAACTCATGGTGTAGTGAGCTGCATTCTTCTTTAAAATCTTGCACAAGTTTGATGTACAACATACATCACCTTACTTGTTGCCCGTGGATGTGTGACCCTACACAGACATCACGATTCCTGGAACTTCTTTGGAATTTAAGGCGTACTGAATTGAAGGCAATTCAATGAAATATCAGCCTTTCTTTTCAAACAACAATTAATATTTATTGTAAAATTCTAATAACATGTCTCAAACTTGTAATTGATAATTGATTCCATGGTTTTTGAATATTGTTAAACCGTACAGCTTTGATCAAGTTTGTAAGTTTACGGAATGTCTTCTTGGTTGATTCAATGCCAAGAGGGGATGGATTTGTGTGGTGTAATTTGTGAACTTAATGTCCTTCCGAACTATACATTTTCCTGACTGTTGCTAATTATTTAGTCTGTTATTTTAAAATCTCTACATCTGCTTATGTAATCGAGTTGTGACTCTCCCTCTCTAAACTTCGGGTGTAACCCCTATTTGCGACTACTATTTCCTTTAAATTAACAATTTAAAATTCCCACTATGGCACAAACCTAATGTAAACCCATGAACACAGAGTATAAATATTTTTAAATGCAAATACCTACAACAAATGTAACAATCATTAAAATAAATGCAAACATTTACCCACTTAAAACCCAAATAAACAATATTGCATAGCCTACGATATTCCGGACTATTAAAACTTACAACTTAAATCTACTGTGCCAAAATGAAAATGTTCATGACCATCTGAACTGCTTGGCTGCTTGACACTACAGTTTCTGTCTAGCATCCAGCATGGCAACCCTATACGTTTATAGTTTGTTGCTATGCTGTGCGCATTACGTGGATTTTAACATTCTCGGTTCATCAATTACGTTGTATCACACCTGTGTGACATTCTGGTGTATCACAATATCATGGGGCCCCTGAAGTTCACATAGTCATCCTGTATTTACATTCCTGTTTACACTTTTTAGTAGTGACTGCTATTTTTGTGAACTTTCATTTAGTGACATTAATTTATTCTACAGTGGATATAAACTCATTATATCCACTGTATTTGTGTGTATATGTTACAAAGTGTTCCAAAGAAAATCCCAGTAAAGATTTGCGTGATTCTTTTGTGCATCAAACAAGAAGAATGTATATGTTTTGTTTAAAATTCATGTACATTTTATAAAATGTATTTGGCTTTTATGTAAACAGGTTTATCAACGTGCCGACTTGAACAGAGTTTTAATGTCACAAGCTTTAGGTGCTTATTGTGATCTAAAGCAGGATGTGACTAGCTGGAATCAGTCGGAAGGTGCTGCAGTTGCTATTGATATGACAGAATATGAAAGAGAAAGTAAGTCAAATTATAAGAATATGAAAGAGGAAGTATTATTAAGGTAGTTCATTTAATTTTATTTTTAATCAGAAAGTGCCCTACATTCCATGGTTTTGTTTATAATGAACTTCTTTTTTAGGGTCATTTGTAGAATTCATTTCAACTAGCTTGCACTTTTGTCATAAGAAAAGAAAGTAATGTAATTATGTATGAGAAAACGTTGAATTTTCAGCTGAAAAACACTTATTGTCGTACCAATGTAAAAGTTGATAACTCCTGTTTCTATATACAGTAAAATTACTTCCTCTAACACATGGTATAGCTAGAATCCATGTTTTGTGGGTCCAATTGATGGCAAAACGTCTGTCTGTCCTTTCATGGTGTAACGTAAAACGTTCCCCGCTAACGTAAACCGTCTAAGCACGTAAACCGTTCAGGTGATTTTCTCCAAAATTCCCCAACCAATCTGAATGAACTTGACGCTTTGAGAGTTTCTAATGGATATTTTTATTTTTGAGGGTACCATACATGAAGCTTCAAAAACAGTTTCAAAAGTTTCCCAAAAATGACACCAAATGTTTTGACTTTTTGACACCTGAATTTTTTGTCTTCGGGTAGCATAAAGTGCGCTTAAGCGAATGGTGCAGGTTTCATGTTCGTTGAAATTCCCAACTTATTGAAAATTGCTAAAGTACAATTTTTTGGGCATCTTGCTACAACTACAACATTGATGATAGAGTTTTCTTCCTTAAAGAAATTGGTTCACATTTTAATGAAATATATACCATCATTTTCTTTCACTTTTAATTATTCAGTACACTTCTGCCAGCAGTTTAAAATTATTTTCTTAAACCCATATTTGTACATTTTTATACTTTTGTAAAATTTCAAAATTGAAACCTATTCACAGTCGAAATTTGAAAGATATATAGTCATTTTTATATACATATTTATATTCATACTAATGTTCTCTGTATTATTACCAGTAATTCAAAATTCCAAAAGAAAAGAAAACTATGTTTTTCATAGAAAATTTAGGCAAAAGATTTATGTGGTTTACATGTGTTAATTTAATTGTATACAAATTGAAACGATTTTTATTATGTAATTCTGCTACCATGATATTTTCATTTAATAGGTCAAAGAAAAGAAACACAATGTGGTATATTTACAAAAAACATATGAAATGGCATTACATACTCTCAGGACATGATTTGAATTCCCTGTAAAATTGTTACTTAATACAAAATAAAATTCAAAATATAAAACAGTATTGGAAATTTACATTAGAATTGCATTTTCAAACATTTTCAAAACACTTTCTTAAAATACATATTTTAAATCTTAAAGATAATCGTACTCATATTGATTTTTTGCCAAGAACGTTAATTCCATCAGTACTGACATGAATTATTCATGTTAGAAGTACTATATTTAAAGAAAAATAATAAATAATATAACCTGTTGTTGGATAGGCAAATGTTGGGAATGGTTGTGTTGGGAATGTCAAAAGGCAAAAAGAAAATTTTCTTAATGAACATATCTGTGCTGAAATGAAAGTGTCAGTTTTTATAATTATTTCAAACATGTATTTCAGAAACATATATGTTAAAAGACCTCTGTGCAAGTAATATGAAAAATAAAACTTACTTGTTTTCTTAAATTTATTCATCATGCCATTGAAACATAAAACAATACTGATCCTCCAACTTGTACAATGTGTGAACACAATAATTTGAAAACATGTGAACGGACACATGTGCAGTAAGTACGTACAGTAGTACATAGACATAGTATTTTCTTTTTAACTTGCATTTTTTTTTGTAAAATGGGTGTGTGAAAAAGGTTTACAAAAATAAAAGAAGTAGTAGTATATATTCTATTGTTCTAATTTTGGTTCTACGATAGATGCCCCCTGATTATTAATATTTTATGTTCAAAACTATTAAAATATTAATCTAATCTGAATCAATTTTAAAATAACTCTATAATACATCAGTAGTAGGAGATAGAAAATTTCAACCTTTTTACCGAATTAGTAGTTGCACTTTTTATTAAAAGAAAGTTACTATGCTCCCATGATCGAAATCCTTTTGTTTTATGAAAAATATTCAGACACTTCTACCTAATTTGCACAAGCCTCTTTTACCTTTCTTCTTAAAATTCAGTCACATGACCACACAAATCATCGGTGTTACTTCATCTCCTCATTTAGCACAAGAAAGAAGGGGTTGTTTATTGAGAAAATTAACCATGCCAATATACCATTCTGCACAGAAGTACTGTCATCTTTATTGTGTGTATTTATTTATTTATTATTATTTTTTTTTTTCAGGAGACCAGTGTCCAATGCATTTTGATGATGGGAGTTACCCCTGGGTTCAAACTGAAAATTTCATTAAAGTATTTGACTTCGATGGCACGGACCCTAATTTCAGTATGTCATTGCAAATAAATAATGGATTAATATGGACCTTCATCATGTATTTTGTTCTATTTTTCTGAAATGTTGCTGAATTGGCCAACTGTTTGAGTGAGCAACAGTCAATAACAAAATTAGTATGCCCAATATTAGTTATTTTATAATGAGTGTATATAGGGATTTTAAAAAGCAGCAGTCAATTTTCCTTAGTGATATGAGACTACCGAATCGTTGAAGAAATTTTTTGGCGAATACCTCACAATCAACTGTTATCCAGAATTATAAGATTTATGGATATTTCAGGTGATTTCTTGTTAATTCTACGAGAAATCTCTTATTTGGGTAGTGGGCTAAGCACATTTTATGTTATCGTTTTACAAACTGTATTTAAAAAGGTATATTTATACATTCAAGAGCTTGTTTTAAGATTTGGAATAGTGTTAATTGGGAAGTTAATGAATGTCTTTCTTATTTCCATCCAATGTAATAATTATTTAATGTTTATCTTCTCATAATAATCAGCGTAGATTCAAGACTGTTCTTGTAGATGAGCCTTGTCAGTCGTATAGGTCAGTATTTTTATTTCATAAATGAATGGTGAGTGTATGTTATTAAATTGATTAGGTACTGTACAGTATATTTTCAAAATAATTTTTTACATTGAGAATAATTTTCTTGTATAGATATATTTAGATTGATAGTCACGAGAATTACAGTTGATATCAATAGGCACTAGAATTAAAGTTCATTGAAAATTTCTATCAGAAAAGAAGTTTCTATTGAAGTAAATAAAGATAATTAATTGTGCACTGGTCCTTGTGTATGATGAGAAACATGTTTCACTTTTGTGAAATGATAGTGATTCATCTACTTCACATTCCTCCAAGTCTTGGAGAATTGGTCCGTCCATCTTTTCTGTTAGTCGTGTATTTCTTTTTCCTGTGGCCTATGTATATAACATTTTTGGAAATTTGTTGTTTTCCATTATTTCCACATGGGAGAGCCATCCTCCAATATGCTTATAATGCCCAGTTTTTGTCTAATTTCAACATCTGGATTTGTTGAGAACTTTTATATCCTAAGATTGATCACAAGAATCTCAATTAAACCCTCTGTATTAGTTGTTTTTGTTGAGTTTTCATGATTCAGCATTCTGCTCCATATAAGAATGTGGGGACCTCTTCATTATTTTATAAGATTTTAATGTGATTGAATGTAATGAACTCCGACTTTGTCATTTAAAATTCAAAGACTTAAATTTGCAATGAAATTGTCTTTCACTTTCTTTGAAATTAAAATAGTATGTCAATTTATTGGGAGTACTTTTTGAACCAAGCCGAATTGGAATACTGGCAGAATTTGTTAACTACACATTTCTTGAAAAATATGTATTCCAAAAATACAAATTCTTTGAGAAGTGTCTTCTATGTGTATTTAAGAAGATAGAGGAGAAACTAATTACAAATGGGTTTATGTGGGAGCCCGTGTTTGTGGTGTTTTGTTTCAGGGTATACCTATTACTGTACTTAAAGGCTAATCGTTTTTCATAATAATTTCAACCAAAAAGAAAACAATTATTTTTTACAGAAACCTTCCTCTTGAAAAATCAGTATTAAATCATTTGGTTTAATAGATTCAGTGTATTCTCTTCACTAATGGTGAGGGAAACACACTAGCTATGTTGCCAGCAGAAGTAACAATGACTCAAGAGGTTCCTGTAGCACTATACATATCTTAATAGTAAACATTTTAGAAGATTTTTAAAGAGTGCTTTTTGTTAAAATGTCTATAAAATTTATTTTTAGAGTTAAAAAGTGTATGACAAGTCAGAAGTAGACAATACTCACATCCATGTAATGAATTTTATTGTATTAGTACTGTGAAGTTAAGGAGTAATCTTAGTCCGTCCAATTATTGACTAACAAAGAAAAGCAATGATGAACAGCCTTCAAAACTTGAACTAAATTTGTGTATTTGAAAGATGAATATTTTGTTAATGTAAAACAAGGTACAATGAAGTTAAAGCAGTGCTTTATCATTCCAACATTGTTGTAAGGATATTTGATACTATTGTTTTATTTTGAGGATTTTGGTAATGCTGCTTGTAAATTTGATTCTCTTTACTTGTATTTTTGTATTTTCCCAATGAAATATAGTATATTTCTTTGAAGTTCTTTCATTGCACTGAATACACGAAGCACAACTTTCCATTTTTTCCTTTACCCAAAATAGTTTATGTAATTTGTAAACTGAAATTTCTGCACTATTTAAGTATTAAAATCAAGTCAACTGATTTTTAAAAGAAGAATGTTCACACTACAAGTTTTTAAACTCCAATACAAATAATTTTTCTCTAGATGTTAACAAATCCTATTTCTGTATCACAGATATCTCTTCAGCTTCCTAAATTCATACAAATCTTGTACAAATGTATCCATCATCACCGTCATCATGAACTTTACGCTACAGGCCTGTTCCTGTCATCCAGTATTCTTAGTTGCAGCACCTGGTCTTGAGGTATTATCCAAGATATATTCTTTATCCTTATTTTATTTTTCCTGTTTTCCAAATATTGAAATGCCATGTGTTTTAAATATAATTTATTTACAATCCAAGTATGACACTCCACATGCGCATGGACACAAAGTGCCCCGGTGAATCAAAAAATCTAAATTCGATCTCCACTACAAAAATCCATCTTCATCCACTTAAATAGAAGTTACACTAAAGCATCAGTGTGTACATCAATTATCATTTCTATTCACAATATTTATTATATGCACTGGTTAAAATCATTCTTAAATTAAGTCACCATCTATGTCCAACAAAAATGATTTAATTTTGTTATGATTAGTCAGTATACAAGTACTTCATGAGTGTGACAAATAATGTAGGTATGTAAAACATTGCAACAGCACAATTACAAATGCTACCAAATTCTTAAATCTTAGAAACCAATTCACATTTAAAGCAATTTTTTGCGTACATGTGTTCTTTACTTTGTCCAACTGACTTTTGGAATATCAAAATGTTCAGTAAGACTATCAAGATGTCGGTTGAATTCCTCTACTCTTTGCTTGTGAGTCATGGAAGCTTTCTGCATTATTCGTTCTCGTTGCTTAAAACAAACAAATAAAAAAATTAAACATCACATAACGCTCTAAACAATTAATACTCAAGAAACAAATTGTAACTCATAATTTCAGGAAAAACTCATTTTCTCTAATAAAAATTCGAAAACAGAAGTATCTTTTCTATTTCATCTTCAATTTTCTAGCAAAAACCACATAAAAAATTTTAACCTATACATTTTTTTGAGTAACTTACCATTTTTTCTTGCATTTTCTGGAATGCCATTTCTGCTTTAGTTTTTTCTACTTCGTTTGTTTGAGGTTTGTCATCTTCGTTGGGAACTTTTGATACTTTGGTTACTTGCTCCAAAAGTTTCTGCTTATCCTTCTTCTTTTTCTTCCTGTAACAATATGGATTACATTGATCAATCGCTCTAAATGTGTTTTACAAGTAAGTAAAGACTTTCCTGGCATACACTTACTTTTTTATTCCCGAGTCACATTTGAGCTTGAGAGGACCTTTTGCCACTTGGTCGTATTCAGACATCCTACCAATAACCTACAAATCTACACCAACTAAATTCTGACCGAAAACTTAAAAATAAAAAAAAAACAATTATATCAAGATTTATTTAACCACGTACTTGACGTATAATGAATCAATGCCAGCAACATTATTCTCTAGGGATTGAAGTGAACCGCGCAACTATAATTTTGTGAATCACGAGAAATAGTGAATCGAATTAGTGAACCAAAGGAACCGGTGCCACCTTGCCTGTCTGACGGCGCCCGCCAACACTTCGAGTTCGATTTCGAGTTTGCTCATGCGAAAAGACTCGTATCGATTATAGCGGCGTCATGATTGGTCGTGATGAAAACGTGGCGGCGTAACTTAAAGCAACTCGAAGAGAGACATTCCCGACTGAGCAGGTGGTTAAGCAGTTTGTAAAGATGATTGAGACGTATGCTTCTTCATAGAAATATTAATAATGCTGATGGAAACGAACCACCATTATGGGGAGGGTTTTGAAGAAGAAACATCGAAGCAAAGGCGAAAAACTAGTGGTATGTAGTACTAGCCCAATTATTGTCATCGTAATAGTAGTTTTCTCAAAGAATGAAATTTCAATTGAATTGTAATAATCACAAAACTAACTCAATTAAATAAAAATGATTTACATGTTAAAACAGATAAGACATAAGAAGAGTGAAGTTTTTCCTGGTCATAATACAATTGTGCCCAAGGTATTTTTTTTTTTTTTTTAAATATTTTGATAATGTTCAAATCAGTTTTAAAACACAAATATCATTTCAGGATCAGAAGAAATTGTTGACTAATGCACGTCTTACAGTACCAGTAAGTCTTCCATATTAGAAATCACATTCTGTCCGGGAATGTATTGTATGAGTGTATGTACATGTATACATTAATTTTTGTTATAAATCTGGTAAATAAAATATCACCTTGGCTTCTTTCAGCATGTCCAAACCGGAATATTTATGAAAGGAAGGAAATCCAGTACTTATTGCAGAGAAGGTATAAATGAAATACTCAAAAATATATTTATCCCTTCAAATTTTATGTAATCTCCTAAAAATTTTCTTTGATTCTCAGATGTTAGATTTAATATGATGAACAGAGCTCGTATGAACGAAAAGCTAAATGATATACTGAGTCTTGCAAAACATTCGCATGGATCAAATCACAAATCAATTAATGAAAGTATAGATACTGTTCATGATGTACAGACTCACATTTTTTCCCAGGAAAGAGAACACCATGGGAATTCTCCTCAATCTATGATTTTAGAAGAACAATGTGGAAAGTATGTATGTGTAAGGATGCAAAGGTTTACATTAGGTATATTTAAAACCATTTTTTTAAAGTCATTGACACTTAGTCTTTTTTTCAGAAAAAAATATCAACTTTCTCAAAGTCTCCCCAAAGGCATCAGCACTCCAGTAGAAATGAAAAACCAGGCCAAACAAAATGTATTTCAGTGTCAAAAATTACAGTCCAGTGAAAAACATGAAGAAAATTTTCATGAATCAGAGTACTCACACTTCAAATTTTTTATCACTCATTTTGATTGCGTGTCTTTCAATCTGGTTTTTACAGAAGGTAAGGTCATAGTTCTTTAGCAGTGAATATTATTGAGTACGTTATTGCTAAACGTTTTGTAATATTGTTTCTGTATAAGCTTTAAATGCTGTCTGTTAAATATTCTGCATCTGTTAAATGCTTTTGCATGAAAAAATATAATTTCTAAAAGAAAAAATCCATTTCAGTTGCCTTTTCAAAATCTTTGAAAGTTTTGTTAGTGTTACTTGTTAGTTTATGTAATGCAATATATAATGTATATTAATTATTAATAAAATATTGAAAATCTAATCTCCTTTAAAAAGATCATGTCTGCATGTACTATGACAAAGGGATCATTGTGGAATGAAAATTATTTCATGATTGTGTTTCACAAAATGCCATTGCAATTGGGATTTGTACTCACAGTATGTACACATTACGTTTCAAAATAAAACTGCTTACAAACTTAGAAAAACTTGGGATTTATAAAATGAGATTATTACACAAAATAATTCAAATTCAAAATAATACAAGTACACAAATTGTAAGTTTAAAGCAAAAGATTCTAGATGACAGCAGAAGTCCAAATGGCCTCCTCAGTTCAGATAGTTCATTTATACATAAGAAACTTTATAATTTATGTTACTAATTTCCAATCCACATAGAAAATGAAAGAAAACTGTAGCCTCTGGCCCGCCAGAGGCTACAGTGTCTATGACTTTGCTAGATACGAAAAATCTGAAAACAATGAAAGAGTTCCAATTTGAACTCAAAAATGCAAATATTTATTATATTATTATGTTGTTTTCTCTATTGTGATACCAATTGAATATTGCTCATACCAATTGAATTCTATACTCAGAGCATTACAGCTTACAACAAAGTTGTTGATGTGTGTGACAGCAAGGCTCAAAGTAGGATTCTTCTTACTATTAAAAAATTGGTATTTACATGTTGCCTTATGGAACTGCAACATTTTTTTTAATATTCTTGGTACCTAAAGAACTTGTGCTATGTATACTGTACTATATTATTATTGCATTACTTGTAAAGATGGTTTTTGTTAAATTATTGCAGTGTTATTGGAGAGTATTGTATTTGATATTCATGATCAGTGAGCATGCTATATTTCGGAAAATGTTTTTTTGTGGTTTTGTACAGCAGTATTTTTGCTGCTACAGGACTCTAGTTGATAGTATAGTTGAAGACAGAAATAAGAACAGTAATTATTGGTAAATATTTTCCAGATTTCATTGTTCAGGAGAAGTTGGCATTGAAAAAGAAGAAACAGTAAGTCTTATTTATTATTTTTAAAACCTTTCAAATCTATTTCTTGTGTCTATATTGTTGATAATTGAAGGGCTTCTTGGGAAAACAGCATTAGTCCAAATATCCAAATTGTGGAAAATGAGAAAAATCGTTCACCTTCCTAGCTTTATTTATCCTCATTTTTGTTGGAACTAATGCACTTTAGACTGAGTCGATATTATCCTTTAATGCAAGCTCCATATGAAAAACATCAAGCCCAAATGTTCTCATTTTGAAAGTTGTGGCACCACATATCATAAACTAGGACTACTATCTCTTTGTGCTTAAAAAGTGTTGATTAGTTTACCAGTAGAAGGCTAAAGTTCCATTTTGAAATGGTACTGGATCACCACCCTGATGTTCAAATTCAAACAAATACAGGTTATTTTTAATTTGTAATATGTTTCTTCTAAAACTCCTTCTCCATTCCAATATTGCTTTTGCAGTAATAGGTGTGTAGTAGGTGTTCTCCTATTGGAGGGAATTGTGTCTTCCTTGTATTGTTGTTCATATTCCACTTGTCTTATTGAATCAACTTCCTCATCATGTTGCAATATCTTCTAATCTATTTGTCACTACTACTTGATCATCTGCAAACAAAAGTGTATAAAAACAATTTCCATTTATTTCTATACCCATATCCAAATTTCTATACCCATATTCACCTTTATCCAAATTTCTAAAATACTCTGTAAATATATAAATATAGATAAATAAATATGAAGTGTCTGTGATGTTTGAATTTTCAGCTTTTAAATACTTTTCAATGCACTTACTCATTTACCAAAACAACTTCTTTATTGTTCTTTTGTTTTTTTCAATCTTGTTTAAGACCTCCCTTTGTTTTGAGTTTTGACCTTATATATTGCAAGTTGACAAATTCAGAATCTGTTTTGTGAGAGTCATCCTCCATATGATTCAGCATTTCGAGGCTGTTGGCTGAATCTTTTAATGAGTTTGATTTTTTTCAAGTAAGAGGGTAATGGCTTAGATCCTCAACCCCAAAACCAGGAAGACCTGATTTTCTTCTTAAGTGTTATCCTTCCCCTAGGGAGTTTTGTTTTGCCACACTTATGGAGTCCTCTCTCCCCCATTTGGTTCTGACAGGGTTTTCCTTCCCTTAGCACTATGTTCTCCTTTTTGGCATGATGATCACCCCTCATCCTTCTCTCATTAGCTATTCTCTGAAATTTCACCCCAGAGAGTACCCAAGAGCCACCACAAGGAGGAGAGAGGACTGTCTGACTTGACCGCTCCTCTCCAACCTTCTCTTGCAGTGCCCAATTGTAAGGGACATCTCTGGTATTTCCTGATACAATCCTAAGAGCACAAGCCTTGCACATCAAGCCCATGTTCAACTTTCACATCCAGATTTAGTTCTTTAAAAAAAGCTGAGTACTTGGCATTGCTCAGGTATTTATTTATCACAATCATCTATTAAACAGCTTCATCTATCCTTCATGTTGCTCCTGTCGCCCCTCCCGCCCCCCACCCCCTTCACATACACAACTAATTTGGTCCACTTCCACTGATCCAACCTGCCATGGCTGTAATGCCTACACCTCCGGCCCACCCTCAACTTCATTTTTCCTGCTCATCATGCTCCATCCACTTGCTCCCCTAGTTCTTCCTGGTTATGATCATTCTATTCAGTTCTGTAAAATCCCGTCGTGCATCACTGGCAAGAATGTCATCCAGATACATTGGGTATTGCATTTAACAAAATATTGTAAAAAGAACATACTTCAGGATAACATTTTGAAAGAAACTATACTATTTTTGGTGTTTTGAAAGTTTTTGCCAAATTTGAGAGCAATCACTCCACTGGTTCTTTAAATTTTTATGGTGCACAAATATACATATTCTAATTTTTATTTAATATATTTTCCTTCCATTATTTTGCAATTTATTTTGAGATCCACACTTGCATTCGCACTCACATTGGTGTTCTTCAGGTAAGGGATTGGTAATAGTATGCCACTGTTAAATATCCTTTAATAGTCAGAGTTCTAATAGTAGATGGAGGTTGTAAGTTCATAGTCAAGCTACAAAGAGAAAATGTTAGCCACTGTGGATAGGTAAAACACAACATGTAGACCCTCTGTTGTTTCTTAAATTGATTTTTTTTTCAATGAGAGCCTTTATTTCCATGTTTTGAGGAATTACCATTCTTTCTCATGATCAAAATTAAATTTTGACACTTTCTTTTTTTCAGAAATAAATTAATGGATCATACTTCTTTTAATAAGTTGTCAAAAATAAATAAAGAAAAGAGAACTACAATTCGTCATTCTCAATATCCAGAAGGTGATATCAAATTAATGATTGTATTTTGTTTCATTTCCAATCTGAATATTTCCTATCATTTTCAAAACGTTTTTGATACTTACATAGAGAAATAACATAAAAATGCTTTAGGGTTCATTTAATTTTAGAATGCACTTTTAATTGCTCACAACAAACACAATTTTTGGTATTGTTTTATTTATGTAAGAATAATAAAATTTATGGAAATGCATGACTTTATGAAAATAATTTAATTCTGGATGTTCTAGTTGATATTTTTCTACTACTGAAAATTCAGCATTGTTCTCAATCTGCAAAATAAAATGATCACATCATTTTTACACTTTTTTCTTTTTAAATTAGGTGAGGATTTAATGGATAAAACTAAAATGTTGAAAAACATTAATTGCAGAAATATTAACAAAACTGTGAAATTGCCTAAGAAGAATCTCAATTATAATGCATTTAAAAATGTTAAAAAGATACAAATCATTAACACATCTCATGGTCAACGAAAAGATCATGAATATTTGGAGAATATGGATATTTTTCCAGGGCATTCTTTATCACTGTCTCCTCACCATAAATTTGAACTTTACACAACTGAGATGACATTTTCATCGAAAGACAAAATTACTTACTCAGAAGAAAGTAGATGCAAAACAAAACAATCACTGTTGAATCCTCTAAGGTTTCTTGAAAATTCACTCTCTGAAAATAACAAGAATTTAATTCCTTCAAAATCATCATCTTTAGATGGATTTCAGTTTTTGAATCATTCTCTTGGCCTATCTTCTTCCTCAGCACCATCGGATATGCATGTTCCCATACACAGACACATGAAACAACAACTTTCTCGATTTCCTACATCTCTATGTGAAAATTTAACAAAAGAAATAAATGAGAAGTTTGAATCACATACGATTAATCAGCATTCTCCTTCAAGTGTCAATATTTGGAAAAATGATTTAAAATTTAGTCTAAGTGAAAGCCCTTGCAATCATGAAATTTTTGATTTTCAATTTGATGAACAAGTGGATACACGTCCTGATGATTTCCAAATTGGGAATTATTTTAACGATGAAAAAGTTGTGTCAAAGAACTTAAAGGACTGTGAAGACTGCATGTCATGCGGAAGTGTTATCCAATCACAAACTTTTGAAAATCGATCACCTTCATTGAGAAACATAAATGACTCTTCAAGCCCTATTAACATAGAGAAAGTTACAAAACCTCTGAAATTGGAAAGCCCTATTTTGAAAACTACAGTAAAAAGGCAAGACATTAAAAAACCCTGCTGCTTGCATTTTCCTGATGATAATTATCAATCACAAACAATAAAGGTAAGTTATTCTCATGTCATCTCTTAACTTAAAATTAATGTAAATTCTCATCAGTTCTGCAATGACATATCACATAGAAAAGTGTTCAGTAAATAATCTTGTTATTTTGCCTCAAGTAAACAACAGGGGTTTTCATGCAACCAAAATTCAATGTTGAGTTCTGTGTTAAATAAATTATATTTTATTTACCAAAGCATTTTAAATATACTGGAAATGTTTTTCTACTCAGAATGATGTTCTCTCATTATCGAATTTTGAAGAAGAGGACTTCCGAGCAAATAATTTCTGGCATAGAAGAAAAATGTTTTAAAAGATTTGCACACACTTGTGAGAATGTGCATATTTTGCCACGTGGAAAACCAGAACTTGTTGATACTAATATTTACAATGTTCAAAATTATTTTGACACATGGTAAGAAGTGGATATTGGTTGATTATAATGATTCACAAATAATCACATAAATGTTTTCTTGTAATAAGTTTTATAGTAGGTCAAATTCGGAAGAATTAAATATATTCTTTTTGGTTAATTTTTGAGAACTTATTTCTTTAACATTATGTACATTTTGCATTTGTGTTTTGTGTCATCAACAAAAAGATTGTACAGTAATGTCACTTGTAAATATATTTTTATTTAATTTATAGTTAATGTTTTTATCACAATAAGAATACATTTAGTTATAGAAAATAAAAAGTCATTCTCAAAAAACCGAATTAAATTTATTTCTATCACCTTGTCATTTATAAGTAAACTTGTTGGAGAAAATATATGATCAATAAATATTTCTCACATTTTTTGCTTAAATCTGTAAATATAAAATTAGCTGACATTTGAGGAAAGAATATTTCATGGTTCTACTGAATCAGTCATATTGCCAAAGCAAACCGTTAGCTTTATCAGAGTGAATACGTTTTAGAAGCTACTGAGTCATTCAGAATTTCATCAGGAATTTAACCAGGTCCAGGCCAATCACTGAAGTACTTATGTGAAATTCTGGCTGCATGTATAAATAGATATCTTTTTAATTAAGGCTTTTGTCTTTATGGTAATTTTCTATGTAGGCAGCGGCTATTACTAGAAATAGATTGAGAGTTCCTACTATCAAAGTGTGTATAAATTTATAAGATCCAGAAATTATTCAACGACCAATGTCAATATAGGTAAAGAAGAATGATGCTCTATTAGCCTGCATTGTGTGTACAAGTCAACCAAAATTTACATCTAGGCTGATTGATTCTATTAAGCTATATTACTGTCGGCAGTATAAAGTATTGCTTGGAAAATACTTATTATAATTGAAATAATTATGCATAATCTTCAATGTTTCATCATGTTCAAATTTAAATCGCTACTGAGAGATGACACCATGTCCTCGCCAATCCGGAGAAGCTCAATCGTACTAAAGAAATGTTCAATATCGGTAATCAGCATCTACTTGTTAGTTTCGCGCGTCACCAAAAGATCGCAAATGCCAAAGAGTATATTCCAGCACTCAATGTTAAAAGGAAAAGCCTTATTTGCCCAACTTCCGGTGCTGCAACATTGTTCTGTATAATTTCTATTAGGAAAACGGGCAGTCAATAGTGAAGAAGTAACCGGTAAATTTGAAATAAACCAGCAACGCGGGAACTTTAAAATTTCACTCCCATACTTCCACGCCTTAATTTATTAAAAAATTCACAATAATAATTATTAGGATTTTATGGAAGAAAAAAGTCAAATTAAGGTAGTAAAATCTTTGGCAAAATGCATGGCAGAGGAAGAATCCTTAGTTTATTAAACAAGGGTTTGCAAGACTCCAGCTTATGAGGTATATACGTAAGCTTCCGCGGCTCGAATCCATGAATATTGGCTATCCGGGAGACGCCGCGTCGTTGGCTTGGGTGCCGACGTTTCGCCTGACATGTCGCAGGCTTCCTCAGGGCAGTGACGATCACTGCCTCACTGCCCTGAGGAAGCCTGCAACATGTCAGGCGAAACGTCGGCCCCCAGCCAACGACGCGGCGTCTCCCGGATAGCCGAGAATTCCAGCTTATGAGTGCTGGTCACTGTTCGCAATATTCTTTTCTGGATAATAAATGTGAGAGTGCTTTCAGGGGCATTTTCCCAGAATATTATTCTATATTTTAGATGTGAGTGCACATTTGCAAAATACATTGTTCGAAGTGTCTCGATGTTGGAGCTTGACCTGAGGGTGAATAGGGCATAACAAGAAGCTCAGCAAATCTTACTAAGATTTGAGGTGTGAGCATTCCATTTTAGGTTTTCATGAATTGTTAGTCAGAGGAAGGTCATGAGATGTCGTTACAGGGTTATTGTTTATGAGCAAATGCTGTGAGAGTTTTTCTTTAGATCTAGAATTCATGAAATTTAGAGAGACTGTCTTGCTGGTGTTTATGATGAGTTTGTTGTCTTGAAACCATTTAACTGGTGCTTGCAAAGTTTTGTGAGTTTCTTTTTCTAATGATTGTTGTGATTTTGCTTTGATGGTTATGTTTGTGTCATCTGCAAACGAAATTGATTTGTTGTTCCTTAAAGCCAAAGGCATGAAATATATGTATATGAGGAATAGTATTGGCCCAAGGATGGATCTTTGCAGGACCCACAATTTATTATTTGAGGACAGAAGTAGTATGAGGAGATTTTGTTTTCTTTAGTGTGTTGGAGGGCAACTATTTGGTTTACGGTTTGATAAATATGATTTGATACATTGGCCTGCAATGCCTTGAATCCCTAGTATTTCTAGTTTTCTTAAAAGTATGTGATGGTCAATGATGACAAAGGCTTTTGACAAATCTAAGAAAAGGCCAATGGGAATTTTCTTCTGATTTAGTGCAACTAGTATGTCATTGAAAAAGGAGAAGATGGCTGTGTCTGTGGATCTATTATTCCTGAAGCCATGTTGTGCATTTGTAAGGACATTATTTGCAATGAGAAACTGAATCTATCATTGAAAAGTCTTTCCAGAATTTTTGAAAATCTTGATAACAGGAAGATATGTCTGCAGTTCATTGGATCATAACTATTGCCCCTTTTAAACAATGGTTTAATTTTTGCTGTTTTGAATATATCTGGAAATATGTCTGATTTTAGAGAGTATTGGTACGGATTTTTAAGATAGGGATTTTTTAATTGTAGAGCACGGAGGCTTCCTGTTGCAATGAATATCTTTTACGTAGTTTTGGTATTTGGAGAACTTTATTGTAAGTAAATGGGAATTGAAAAAACAAGAAGCACTTCGCTAGTGCCATTGTCTGGCAGTTGCAGCTAAGTCAGGGTAGGTAAACTTGGCGGTCAAAACGGTAATGATTTTTGCGCTTCCTACAACAGTCGCCTCGCCATTGTCGCCCCCTCCTCGCCTCGCCATTGTCGCCCCCTCTTCGCCACGCCTCGTCGCGCCTCGTCATCGTCTCGCCTCGCCATCGTCTCGCCTCGCCATCGTCTCGCCTCGCCATCGTCTCTCCTCGTGTAGACAAGTGACCACGAAAATGCGAGCGAAATTTACAGGTATGTAAAAGCTTATATCTGAGACTGATAACATATTGACAAGAGTAGTAATAGAAATTCCTTTTCTCGGGGAATGGATTATTCGTTCCACGGAACGGCAACGGTGCCCTGCACGTACCGTGTTTTACGGCCACTGGCAGAGCATCAATAAGCCCTGTTACTGAGAGTGTGGACCTGGCAGCCTGGATGCAGTGATATTACACTCGGAATCTAAAAACTAAAAGGCACGTAGGCTTGTTTATAGGTGAATATACACACATGTAACCTCAGCTGGGGAGACATTCTTTCTTGCAAACTAACCTAGCGCTGTCTGATTTGCAGGAACGAAACTCACAATCGACGACTTCATTTTTTTGTGTCGAGCAGCCTAGGTGTCCATATGGTGGATTCTATCGCTTGGGTTGCAAACACATTGCCGTCTGCTTCTTGCCGTCAGCTTCTTGACGTCTGCTTCTCGACGTCTGCTTCTCGGCGTCTGTCGCTTGTCTGCGTCTGCCGCTTGTCTGCGTCTCCCGTGCCTCAGGCCTTCCCCGCCACGCCTCTCCGTCACATTTGTCTTGGCACAGAATTGCGCCAAATCTCGAGGCGGACGAGATGGTTGGACGATGCGTGTGGATTATACTATGTGGACAAGGCAATTTGGCAAAGCCTTGTGGGCGAAGTGGTGTGGACAAGGCAGGGAAGACGAGGCGGGTTGACGAAGAGGCAGTGTAGACGAAGGTGGGTGGACGAAACGTACCGCCTTGCCATCGTTGCCTCGCCTCGGTCGTTTTGCCTGGGACGCCTCGCGTGGCGAACACGGGAGCGGGTGCTATAATTGAACACAACGTGGTCATCACTTAGAGACTGCATGAAAAACAATCAGTACCTGCAGGATGATTTACTAGTAAGTAATTTTTTCTTGAAGCTTTTACAATGGTTGTTAAGCGTAGTGAAAAATGTGCTTATTCTTGGGGGCAGGATTGTTCGGCACACACAGCGGAAATTATGCCCTGAACGTAACCCGCTTTCCTGCACGGCTAAACTTAACGAGTGTGGACCTGGCCGATCGGATGCAGTGTTCACGTGCAATTAATAAACTAAACGGCACGTAGAAATTATTATAATTTTAATGTAACCTTAGTAGGAAAGAAGTTCTCTTCTGCAACAATTTCTAGAGCTGTATAATTCAAGATAATGAAACTCCATTGAAGTTCATAGGTCTCATCGATGACATTTTTTGTTTCAAACTGCGTAGGTATCCAAAGGTGGATTCAATCGCTTGGATTGCAAACGTCGACCTGGGTTACCATTGCCTTCCACCTCGACAAGTGGGTCTCATCTCCTCACCGCCTCTTCGCCGCCGCCACATTTTTGCCCACTCGTTGCCGCCTCCTGTCCCCCGCCACCTAGCCTGCGCCTTTGCCTCTGTTTGTCCGCGACTGCTACTAAGTTTCTCCGCCTCTTCTAGTAAGCATCTTCGTATCTGCCTTTCCGCCTCTCTGCCCTTCCGCCTCTCCGCCCTTCCGCCTCTCCGTCTGAATAGTCTTGTCGGTTGCGCCTCGCCACATCAGTCTAGCCACAGAATCATGTCAAATCTTCTCGAGCCGGCCAAGATGGTTGATCGATGTGTGTTGACGAGACGATGTGGATGAGGCGAATCGGCGAGGCGTTCTGATGAAATGGTGCGGACGAGGCGGTTTAGACGAGTCATATCGCTTTTATCGCCTCGCCTCGTCAAGCGAACACGGGAGCTGGATTTGGAATTGAACACGTGGTCATCACTGAGAGACTTAATGAAAAACAACCAGTAACTGCAGTATTATTTACAAATAAGTAAATTTTTTTCTTTAGACTAAGACAGCGGCAAGTATACACTGCACTTAACCTGGTTTCCGGCCATTCGCACGGCTCAACTATGTCGTGTTATCGAGTGTGTGGACATGGCCGATCGGATTCAGTGATGTTACACGTACAATGAATCAATTACAGGCACATAGAAATTATTATAGGTTATGCATATGTGAAGAAAATATAATTTCTTTATTCTGAACATGTCGTGCTTTCCACCCTTGGCGCGTGGTTAAGAGTGGTTGCGCGTGGTTGAAACTTGAGGACCGCTAGAGAGAGTAAGTGGTACCATTATTGAAAAATATTTAAATTTACACTTTTAAACTAAGTGGTGTAAACAGAGAAGCGGTTAGTCAGCTTTTTAATTGTCG